CTTCCTTCTAAATAAAGCTTCCTTTGTTGCCAAGGCACCGTTGATAGCTCGCCAAATGAAATGCAGAACCTTTGGGGGCATTTTAATCCTCCATACACCACTCCAAAGAGATTTTGAAGGCTTATAAGAAGAAGTAGGATCTTTTTTCTCCATTTTTCTGCTTTCTCCTTTGCTACTCTGTATCCCATCTTGACTGAATAAATCCCATCTCTACTTCTCAGCCAAATTAGTTTATCAGCACAATTCAAACCAGGTAGTTTAATCATTTTTATCCAGGCTTTTTCTTCATCACTCAAAATTCCTTCAACTTGTGTAAAATCCCACCCTCCATTAACAATTAAAGCCTTCACATATAAATCTTTTTTATCATCCTCCAGTGTTCTACCTCTTAGTTTACAACCTTTAATAGAAGGCAACCATTTATCAGTGAAAATTTTCGCACTTCCACCATCATTAATCTTCCAACACAAATTCTCCTTCAACAACTCCCTACCCTCAAAATACTTGACCAGCACCAAGAAGCTTTATTTCCTTTTTTTGCGTTTAGGAAATCACACTCTGGAAAATATAGCGCTTTTAAAATCCTGCACCAAAAGTCCTCAAGATTTAGTATAAGCCTCCAGGCTGTCTTTGCCAGCAAAGCAAGATTGAACAGCTCCAAATCTCTGAATCCCAATCCCCCTTCCATCTTAGGAGCACTTAAAGACTTCCAATGAATTCTTCCTTCCTTATCTCTTTGCCCCCACCAGAATCTTGAAATCAAACTATCAAGTTCTCTACAGAAATTTTTAGGAAAACTAAAGCAAGACATGGGAAAAATAGGAATAGCATTTGCCATAGCTTTTATCAAGATCTCTCTCCCAGCGAAGGTCAACAGCTTCTGCTTCCACCCTTGTAATTTACTGCCCAATTTATTCTTTACAAAAGCTAGAGCCTTAGATTTTGACCTTCCCCACAGTAAAGGCAATCCCAAATACTTCCCCGGATCTGTACTTGCTTTAATTCCCAATTCATCATATACATCTTTTTTCTGAGTTCCATTTGCATTTTTAGAGAAGAAGACACAAGATTTATCAATATTAATAGCCTGACCTAAAGCGTTGCAATAAGCATCAAAAATCTTCTTCAGCACCCTACAATTCTGCTTTCTTGCATTAATGAAGATGGCATCATCTGCGAAAAAGCAGTGAGACAAAACTGGGCACTGATTTGCAAGCTTTATTCCACGCAGCCTATTATTATCCACATGCCATTGAACCATTTTTGAGAGTACATCAGCCGCAATGATGAAGAGATAAGGAGACAAAGGATCCCCTTGTCTAATACCCCTTTCCATATTCAGATCAGCTATTTTTCTTCCCCCCACCATCAAGTCCAAGCTGACAGAACTAACACATTCTATTACCCATCCAATCCACGTTTCACCAAAACCTATCCTTCTCATTACTGCCTCAATAAAGCACCATTCTTGCCTGTCATAGGCTTTATTCATATCTATCTTTGCTACCATTTCCACTTTCCTACCCTTCTTTTTATTTTTCAAATAATGAAATGCTTCTTAGGCTACTATTATATTATCCTGGATCAACCTTTCAGCTATAAAGGCTCTCTGATTTTCAGAAATAATTCTCATCAACAAAGGTTTCAATCTGTTGGCCAACACTTTAGAAATTATCTTGTAAACAAAGTTACAAAGACCTATTGGCCTAAATTGACCAACCTTTTCTGCAACATCAACCTTTAGGATCAAGACAATGTTAGTTTTATTAATAGGCTGCAAACTTACCTTGTGATCAAAAAAATCTTTTATCATCTCAACTAGTTCACCATTTATTTCTCCCCAAGCTGCATGGTAGAAACAACCAGGGAAGCCATCAGGACCCAGGGCTTTTGTCCCATTCAACTGAAAAGCAGCCAACTTGATTTCCTCCATTGTGACAGCTTTCTGCAACTTTTTATTATCTTCTTCAGATACTGTTTTATCAACATAAGCTAAAGCTTCCTCTATATTCCTTTTGCCACTTGAAGCAAAGAGCTCAGAGTAGAACTTAGAGAAAGCATCATTTATATCTTTCTCCTCCTCCAACCACTCACCATCTTCCCCTTTCAGCTTAACCACTTTATTCCTCACTCTTCTCTGGATAGTACATGAGTGAAAAAATTTAGTATTTTGGTCTCCTGCAGAAAGCCAATTAATTCTTGACCTTTGCCACCAGTATTTCTCTTCCCTCTCCCAAGCCTCCTCAATTTGTTTTAGCAAAGATTCTGCCTCCTCTCCCCTAGCCTCATCAAGGATACCACTGTTGCAAACTGAGAGTTTCAAAGTTAAATTCTCAATTAGCTTCTTTGCATTTGGAAAAGCTTCTTTACTCCATCCTAGCAGAATTTTTTTACAGTTTTTGAGTCTGTTTACAATATCATCAACACTGGCTCCTTCATTCCCTTCTCTAATTCTCCAACCTCTGCGAACTATAGGTAGAAAATCTTCATGTTCAGCCCATACTGCCTCAAACCCGAATAATTTTGGAACCTTGACATACCTGTAATCACAGTCAATAACAAGCATGTGGTGGTCAGATCCCACTGGTTCGATGTGAAGCACCGCAGCCTTCTGAAAAATCATTCTGAATTCAGCGTTCCCAAAAGCCCTATCTAGCCGTTCCTTGACATGATCAGTTCCCAATCTTCTGTTACACCAAGTATACCAAGCACCATGAAAACCCAAGTCCATAAGTTGACAATCCGCAAGCATACATTGAAAGTTCATAATTCTTCTTATATCTGCTGGAATTCTTCCCACTTTCTCGAAATTTGAAAGCACATCATTAAAATCTCCAAAGCAGATCCAAGAATCATTTATTTTAGCACCAATGCTTCTCATCTTATTCCATACTGCCATCTTGTCTTCAATACGGGGTGCCCCATATACACAGGTCACATACTTAGGTGCTGACATAGTCGAAGAATCAAGGCTCACATGAATAATATTTTTGGAATGGTACCATATATTCACAGTAACATCCAGTTTCCACCATAATGCCAAGCCACCACTCCTTCCTCTCGGATCTACATAAAATTCTTCATCTATCCTACATTTTCCTCTCAAACGCTGGAGTTTATTGCTATGCATCCTGGTTTCCATTAGGAAGATGACTGAGGGATTAAACTTCAAACACTCATCCCTTAGTTTATTTATTGTCAAGGTCCTTCCCAAGCCTTGACAATTCCAGGATATGAACTTCATTGCTCTTGGGTGGCTGTTGAAGGACAGCCACCAAAACCCTCAACAAGCAAACCACTCATCTCGTTAACTTCCTTCTTAGATACTCTGCTCATATGAACAAACTCCTGGATCACAATTCCTTTAATCTTTCTACCACAAGCCTTCCTAGATTGTTTCTTCAGCAGTCTCACATTTTTCCTACCAGTGGTTGGTGTAACCACCGGCTTCTTAATTTCACTGCTCTCCCCCACTTCATCAAAAAACAGCCTTTGCTTCTTCCTTTGTGTCTCCTCTTCAACATCCTCTAAATTTCTTTTTAATTTTATCCTATTTATTCCCCTTGTCACTTCAGTCATCGGGGAATTGTTTCCATATATAACAATGGCCTTAGAGAAATCTTCTTATTCAGTGATAAATCGTCATTTTGGATACCAGTGTCGGCATTAGAAACGGACTTCGTTTTATTGGTTCTTACAGTAGCCCTTTGCTTAGCTACTGCATCCTTCTTCTCAGGTTCATACCTTTGTGTAGTCTCCTTCTCTACCTTCCTGACTTCCTCCCTTACAGCCTTCTCTTGCTTGTCAATTATTTTAATCTCATCATAAGCTTTTTTATCAAATGTTTTTAGAATTTCAACTTCATCTGGTTTGGTGCTTGGAGCTTTAATCAGCTCACTTATATTAATCTTCCTTCCTTCTTTATACTCCTCCCATCCATCTTTACATCTCCTTATAGCATTCTCAACTGGTCTTGCATTAGGGACACCAAGCCAGTTTCCATATTCTACTTCTAAAATCCTGTCCTCATCATCTTCACCTCAGTTACATCCTCTCTGATAATGTCCTATTATTCCATAGCGAAGGTAGTAATTCTGTAAACGTTCATACCTGATCTTGATCCATACCGGATCTTTTCTTGGCCGCGGAGTCCACAATCCAGTGATCAAAGGCTTTCACAAGTAAATCAACACCCTAGCATGCAGGAAATTCCTTATCAGTAATTCACCTCTTCTCGGATCTTCAACCAAATAGACTTCACCAGCCAGCGATCCTAACATAAGTGCATTTTCAATGTCCATGGCTTCTAAAGGCAAGTCATGAAACTGGATCCAAAAAGGTGCTCGATCAAAATCCACCTCCTTATACAGCATAAAGTCCTGCCAAATTTGAATGTTCAACAAGACTCCCTGTATCGACCATGGTCTTCCTCGCAAGATTCTCAAATAATCTTCTTCCCTGCGGAAGTGAAAGATAAACGCCTGGTCATCCACCTCCACGATCTCTAAGTCCTCATTCCTCACAAGATTCCATCCCTTTCTAATCATCTGGATAGTAGTACCTCTGTTCAAGCGTTTTTCTGAAATCAATTTGCTAACTAAAGCACCTCCATACATCTTCCTCTGTTCTTTTCTCCTCCATTTCAGATTTGCCGTCAAACCTCCATTACTACTGCTTCCATCACCAGAATTCATCTTCGCTCCCGAACCTCCTTCTTCCGTATCTACTAAAGAAAGACTCACCACTACACCGTCGCAATGCACGAAGGTGTAACACACTCTTTTTACTCCGTCGCAGTGGGCAGCGGAGGTCGCACTCAAGGAGATCGGCCATAACCGCCGTAACTAACTCTCACAGGGAGAGAGAGAAAGCTCTCACGTGGAAGAGAAAAAAAATAATACGTATTTATTATAAATAATTAATTTAACCAAATTTAAAAAAAAAAAAAAATTTCCATTGTAGTGTGCTCGTACTACTCTGCCCGACTCCCCTCATATCGCAGGCGCACGCGCAGTGAGGACCGTTACTGGCTTCACTTCCTCCGCCCGCCGCTCTCTGTTGCTAGTCGCCGCCTTGTTGTCCCTCCTTCGGGCGAGACTCAGAGCGACGGAATTCTAGTCCTAGCCTTGATTCGTCGACAGAATCGAGTAGTGTTTCATTTCCTAATTAATGTTTTACTGTAAACTTTCTAGTAATTATATTCTTTCTTTTGACTCATAGGGATTTTTCCTTGGATAATAGTGGTTTTATGTTAATATTATTATGCATTTAGGATCACCAAAAGTAAATAAACAAAACGAAGAAATGAAATACACGAAACGCAGCAACAAAATCGATTGAGCATCAGCTTCTCCAAGCAGAGAGACAAGAAACGAAGCTGAAAATGGGAGCGTTGTCCTTCTTCGCAGAAATCCGTTGGTATGGAGAAGGACAAATGGCCCATTTAGTGCTTTCTCCTTCGCTCCATTCTGCTCGGACAATGGCGATGCGATTCAGAGTTCCAAGGCCAAGATCTTTGATCGGCAACTTAAGCGTAAACAGGTTTTTCTTTCAATAATTTGGATGCATACGTGCCTTAGACGTTTCGTGAAAAAATTGACGCACTATTCTAGAGCAGTTCTTAAAAATAGCTGTAATTGGTTCTCCTGTGTAGCGAGACAGAGCTGCATGGTTGATGCGCCCAAAGGATTCTTTGGTTGATACCGTCGCTGAAAATCTACTGGACCGCTTAGAGGTAGTTTCCATTTCCCTCCCTTAATTCATACGTGTTTACGGTTCGTTATGTTTTCCTTATGGGTTCTACCGCTTGTAGGCTCCCTCTAGCCGTTTTTGATTTAGTTGCCATTAACTTGGAAATAATTAGATATTGATAGATAAGTTTATGTCTTTCTTAAAAAAAATATTAATCTTAACATGATTGGAAATTTTGAATTTTTACCTGCATGCATTTTAAGCAAATGGATGAAGGCAAAGACGATTATTTTTAAATATTTGATATGGTATAGTTATCTTAAACACTAAGAATCTGAAGTGGAGTCATAATTAAGTCCTATAGAGTACGATGTTCCTGTTGTTTCTCTTTAAAAAAGCTTCGTACGTTGGAACATAGGCTTATTATTTTTTGGATTAATGAACGTTGTTTGGATTATCTTCCCAGTAAAAATTTCAGAACGACCTGTTAGTTTTTTATGGTTCTACTTTCATCCTGGTTTTCGATTCGAATTCCAACTTGTTGCGGTGGTCTAAAATTGTAATTCTATATTAATTGTTCCTTCCATTGCAGGTGGAAACATTATCTTGTATTGAAATTAGCATTTGTTGCCATGATACATTCATAATGGAATATGGTTTAAAAAAGTGATTCTTTTGGGCTTATGTAGGCTATTTTTTAATCTTGTCTTTAGGATTGTAAGAAGACTTTTCCCAGAGCATTGTGCTTGGGAGGTTCTCTTGAAGCTATCAGACGCGTGCTTCATGGCCATGGTGAGAACGAAGTTAAAACTTAGGCTACGTTTGTGTATGTTGTTATGGGAGAGAAAAATGGGGTATGCTTCTTAAAATATAATAACTTATTTTACTTCAATGCTTTAAAGAAAGAATTCATTTGATGTTGCTATTTATAAATTGATGTGATGAAAATGATTAACCACGTGAGGGTTTAGGTTCTTTCTCTCTCCTGATGCTGTGGCCGGATAAGATGTTGCTTTGCACAAGTAGAGCTATGCTGGCTAATAGGTGGCTTGCTTGTTTCAATAGTATAGCATTGTGGCTAATAGGTGGCTTGCTTGTTTCAATAGTATAGCATTGTGGTATTGTAGAGGATAGGAGGGAAAGAGAGGAAGAAGAGTCAGGAAAAATGGAGAGGAGGGGTAGAGAGAGAAGAGGAAACTGAACAGTACGCCTGAAAATTCATTAGAATGGTCAACAACCTAAGTACAGAGGTTAGGATTCTATTTATAGATGCCCTATCAGTTAACTAAAGACTACCTAAACTACCCTTAGGCGTTATTGAACTAATGAGCCATTATTAACCCCACATGGCTTATAGGATTAGTAACGACCCCCGGTCCCTTATCATCCATTCTTCTATGATTACATAACATATAGGCACCATGTTTCTAATTATCAATGTGATTTTACACGATGTTCAAGAGACTTAGCCCAAAATGCTGCTAATAAGAAACGAGGCTTGTAATTCAAAGAGCCAATCTGTGTTCACACTAAGGTGGTCTACAACAAAGGCTGCTTATTTCCTGAGGGGGTTGGAAAAGTACCGAAATAAAGAAAAATACTTGCATATGTTTTTCATTGATATGAAGAAAGGCTTATGATCAAGTGCTAAGAGAAGTGCTATGGAAAGCCTTGGAAAAGAAAGACGAATGTGTTGCTTATATTAGAGCTATAAATGACATGAATGAGGGGGTAAGAATCGGTGTGAGGCTACATGGAGGGGATTGGTCTCCATCAAGGGTCATCCTTCATTTCTTTACTTGTTTGACGTGGCATTAGATGTTTTAAATAAACACATTCAAAGGAAGTCCTTAAATGCATGTTATTTGCAGATATTATTAGTTCTAATTGAGGAGCTAGGAGAAGAGGTTGACTTTAAACTTGAGTTAAAGAGACAAGCTGTGGAATTGAAGATTTTTTGCTTGAGTAGGAGAAAGATGGAATATATGCATTTCAAATTTAAATGAAGACATGTTATAATGGTTTGGAGGTAAAAATTGGAGATTAGACCATACCACAAATTTTAAAGTTCAATTATTTGGGAGCGATATTTCAAAATGATGAAGTCGTATGCCTACATCTGTGCTTTTCTTATCTATTTAACTTGAGGGATACTGTTCAAGCATTTGTTGTTACTGTGACTAGTATTACTAGTCGTCCAAAGATTGATAAATGACTTGGCTCTGGAGCTGTTTCCCAGTAACTGGAAAGTCCATTGTTTGGTTCGGTTTCAAACTAATAATGGAGGGTTTATGGTACTATAATTGATTCAATAATGCAGGTTCCATTGAAAAGCTCATCATGATGGATGCATCTAGCGAAATGGTAGAACTTTGTAAAAAAGCTAAGGTAGCTTCACCCAATGATAATATTGAGACAACATTTGTAGTTGGTGATGAAGAATTTTTGCCTATCAAGGAGAGGTGCATGTGCAATCATCTTTAGTTGTAAACTGCTCATAAACTTAGGTTGGGCTTTAAATGTTTGTATTTATTAGTTTGGGCTTTAAATATTTGTATTTACTACTGTGCAGCTCCGTGGATTTGGTCATTAGTTGCTTGGGGCTACACTGGACTAATGATTTACCGGGAGCAATGATACAGGTATCCTCCTATATGTACTTGTCTTGACTTGACATGTTGACTGATTTGGCTTATATTTGAATTGATCTTTGTCTAATAGCCATACCACACTAGTGAGCTTTATGCTGAAGTTCATGTATATTATTACATTTTGCTGGTATTCAAACTATCATTCCCAGCAAAGTTGGATCATATTAAGTATCACAAAGATATATGATTATGTTGACTATGATGTGCATTTTATGTTTGGCAGTGTAAATTGGCTTTGAAACCTGATGGCCTTTTTTTAGCTGCTATACTTGGTGGAGAAACCCTTAAGTGACTACCTTACTCTTCATTCTGGAATTTCTTTGCACATTGCATTTAGCAACTTATGAGATAATTTTGCTTGATTCTACATGTCAACAGGGAGCTCAGAATAGCTTGCACAGTTGCACAAATGGAGCGTGAAGGAGGGATTAGTCCCCGAGTATCACCTTTGGCACAGGTATGTACTTTATTGCTAGAGTTTTTCACGCAAAAATAGTTGACAATGAATATCTCTTTTAATGAAATTGTGCGAACAATGTGAATTTTGCATAGAATGATAGTTATGTCTTTCCACTCAATTAGCAAATTGTCTAAAATCATACATACTTAACTACATTGGGCTTTCTTGCAAATATTTCCCCTTGGCAATGAATTTATATTCCAGTAAGGTACTCCCTCGGTCCTCAAATATGAGAAACAAACAACTGCGTTTCACAATACCAAGGAAAATTTGGTTTTGTTAGTTAAATGCTTTAAGTATGCCGTAATTTGTTATTTCTTTCCAAAAATGACCCCAGTAAAGTCATGAAATGGATTGAAACCATAATTAATTCATGATAAGTAAATAAAAGGGCAAATTGGGAAAGATGCATCAATTACACCATTAACTTCCTCCAGTTCTCTTATATTTGGGGCAAAATAAGAGTGATTAATCTCTTATAAATGGGATGGAGGGATTTTGGGCTTGTTTGGCATAGTTTTCAAAATCACTTGTGAGCACGTTTTACGTAAGCGGAGATGAAATTCCTCTCATATACTTACTTTGTGTTCTATAAATCACAATTGAAAAGTCATTTATAAGCTATTCCAAATGAGCCCTGTATTGTTGCCCCCTTTCCAAGTACATCTTTATGCCATTCACTTCGAAGTTCTACCCTTAGGCCTCATGATTGGAGGCCTTAGCAGCTGTCACAAGTGGCTTCACATTGCACGTAGGCCAGTAATACTTATGCTTTTCATTGAGGGAGACACAAGCTTTTAGGGTGACACGTTGATATGAGATCATAGCTGGGAAGGCAGTTAGAAGTGGTAACTGCTGAAAGTTGGAAGGGGATCTATTGTGGCCTTTTTAGGTGGGAAGTTCATCAGCCGCATTAGATGGGAAGTCAACTAAGTTGGCGGGCTTGTTTCATTATTTGTTGAGGATTATTAGTGTAACTTCTGATTACGGGACTAATGGGTTTAAGGTTTATGCACTCATTTTCCCTTTGCAAGTTTCTGTCTTCCTTTCTACATTTTCTTTTGTCATTTTTCCGGGTGTTATCAGAAATTTTCTAAATAGAAGACTGGAGCTGAATTGACCGTTTGATCAGGTACGGGATGCAGGGAATCTTTTGACGAGGGCAGGCTTCACTCTCCCAGGAGTTGATGTTGATGAGTATATAGTTAGATATCCAAGTGGTGAGTAATACTGTGGTTTGAATGTGTAATTGAAAGTGGTGAGTAATTACTCTGGTTTGAATGTGTAATTGAACTTTCAATGTTTATGACATAATAATAGTGTGATTTCCTAAAGATTCCACCATGTTTATGACTTAATTTCTCTTCCCATTTTTGCTATGTCACTGCTACCTGGAGTTGAAATTTTGAAAAGTTAGTCAAACTAAGTTTGATTTGCAGCAATAAGGCGCCTTATAGATTGCCCTCAATTCATCACAATAAGCCTTTTCTGGTTGCATTGCTGCAAGTTTTGTCAACTCATGAGCTGCTATTAGAAATCTTTACCAAGCGTCCCTTTCTAGTTCTTTATTACTTATATTTGTAACAAGTTTGGTAGATATGATTTATATGCTCTAGTTTTAGGTGGAATGGGAGCATCAAGTGTGAATAGTGGGATAAGCTATACCTGTGGTTCCACGTTGCTTGTTTATCTATTGTATAGTTGTTTTCTTATTACAAATCATATGCCCTTCTAGGAAAGGAAAGGATCATTAGCTTTGGCAGTTCAAGAGCTGTTGCCCCCCCCCCCCCTCTCTTTCAGAAAGGTTTTCTAGCAAACTAACTCTTTCTCTCAAAAATCCAATATAGGTCTTTATAAAACAAATCAAACAAGTCTAGTTCATCAGCCCTTCCCCCTCATGTCCAGCAAGTCTAGTTCCTGTTTCGAACCAAGCTTTGATACCATGTGGACTTGAATAGCTTGGACAGTGAGAGAAAAGGTATTCTATATTTCATCATGCATTCTGTACATTTGATTTGCACATATATGCAAATGTAGGACTCAACAAACAAGAGGGATATTAAGCTAAGAATCTGGAACATGATCTTCTACACTTGATATGTTATGAACAAATAAATTCCATATCCCATCAGTAATGTAATACTGAAAAATATGCCCCTGATAAACTCAATATTTTAACACTTTTACTATAGCCCAGCAGCCCCAGTTGGCCCTGCTATGGAAAATAAATAATTGATAGCCGTTGTTTGTGTTAGAATGTTATTAGCTTACTGGCCGTTGGGGGTAGTAGATATTTTAGAGTATAAATAAGCCCCTAGTCGTCCTATTGTATCCATTTGGCTATGGACAGATTAGTGAAGATCAGTGCAATTCAATTTCTCTTCCTCTCTTCTCTCTCGAATCCCTTTCTGTTTCTGTTTCTCTTTCCCTTTCTATCTCCTATCTTCTGTAAATAACACAACTGGCCCATCATAGACTTCCTTTATTTGAAACTTCGTAGCAGAGCCATTGGAAAACTACGTTCAAGGTTTTATGAACCTTGTGAAAAGGTGAAGAAATATAAACCGGTAATCTCCTATTTAGAGCAACCACAGTGAAAAATGGGGAAGTGAAGATATTAGTTAAATGAAAGAAATTATCCTGAGTGTGAAATGATTTTGGAAACTAACTGATGGTTAAGTTGCTATTTGGGAAAATCCCCAAAAAAATATCTCTTGAATTTCAAAATTCCAAATTAGCCTTGTTTACCACACTTAGATAGCAATTAACTACACTTAAAAAGCAAATGACAGCACCTTTTTGTATTAGTTTCTAATTTGGGATTTTGAAATTCAAGAGGGATTTTTTTTGGGGATTTTCCCTTGCTATTTCTAACTCTCCACCTTGAGCACATGGTCAAACTTATTGGTGCGGGTATTGATGAGCCAACTTTGGGATGGCTTATTGGTTATTTGAAGTGGAGTTACTTTAGTTTTTAAGGTATATTCGCAAGGGCCAAGAGCATGATTTTATGTCCCTTTGTCTCTGGTAAAGGGTGTGTCTAGGGGTAGAATATCATAAACCTGAAGTAATAAAGATCTCATTTGATATTTTGATTTAATCATCTTTGTGCCTCTTGAATGAGGCATATCACAATGTTAGTACTTTGTTCTCTCTTGATTGGTGTGGATACAAATTCCTTTCTGAATGTTGTTACTCAATCTATGGCCTGTGGTTTTTTTCTCTTGTGCAGCTCTTGAGCTTATAGAACATCTGCGTGCCATGGGTGAAACTAATGCTCTTCTTCAAAGGAACGCTGTAAACTTCTTTTCCCTTGTACCTTTACACACTAAGTGTTTAAGGCTCTATTTGGTCCAGCATATAAGCCTAGATAAGATAGTAGGCTAGCACAATCCAGACAAATATGGTATTTGGTGCATGTAAAGGATTTTATAGACTTGCATGGTTGGAACTATTTATATTATACCACGAGGTGTGGAAAGGGTTTTGACCACTTAAGCACAAGGTCTTGAGTTCCAGTTTGTGTAAATGTAGAAAATGCCTTTGGGAAAGCTACCCCCAATTGGGCCTAACAATGCTTGAATCTAACCTAATCAAATGGCCATGTAAAAGGCAAAAACTATTTGCATTATCCCCGTATAACACAATCCACCCAAGAGAAAAGGAGCAAGTCAGGATAAGAATTTTAGGAAAAGGTTTTTGGTAACAAAGATTTCTTATAATTATACAATTTTACCTTTCATTTATTATTGTGTTGACTTTGTTTTCAAGGGGTATAATGTATATTAAATAGGGATAAGGTTGAAAAGTCGTTAAATTTTAAATAAGAGTTAATGAAGTTTAAGATAATTCTTGGTCTATGTGAAATATATTGAAAGTGACTTTTAAATAAGATTAGAGGAGTATATATGTTCCATCATTATCTATACAAATGGTTCCACATTTACACAACAAAAACATGAGAGCATAAAACACTCATGTGGCAAATAGTTTGTATATTACTATTCTTAGCTGCTTATACTATTAGGTTCAATTTTATATGATGCACCAATTAGGGCATCGAGAATGCTTTCATCCAGTTTTCTACATTAGATGCTAGTGGGGAACATCTTGATTAAAAGGTTGCTCATAACGAAACAGATGCTAAAGAAGGACACAGCCTTGGCAACTGCAGCTATTTATGATTCAATGTTTGGTGCGGAAGATGGCTCAGTTCCTGCAACCTTCCAGGTAAGCAAAGACAAAATATTTTGACTCTGGAAAATTCTTGAGCTTCTCATATCTCCATGTATTCAGGTCGGAACTGTCTTCATAGTTTTTATAATATTTTTTGGTATTCATTCATATGATTTGACAATATGAACCCGTGTTTTTTGGGTCCAGTACCTTCACTTGTTAGCCTCGAATGGTTTAAATCTTCAGCCCTTTTCTGATTGAATTCTTACCACTTTTGAGAAAATATGGCTTGTGGTTTCACTTTGTGATGTGAATTGGGATGCAAAATGGTACCTTTATGGAGGTTGTGATTTTTTCCTCTATCGAAATAATTACAAATTTTTTAATCCACCCTTTTATATCCAAATTGTGTTGTAATGTCAGTTATGTTTCGTATGGCCCTTTTAGGAGGCTAAGGCCAAGTACGGTAGACCATTATTGACAAAGTCAAGGCTTTTCGCGGTTGTAAATTTTGATGCAAAATGATTCCTAATGAATTGGAAGTTGTGATTTTTCCCCTTTTATTTTTTCCCCTTTCATCGGTAAGCTTTGAGGAAGCGTCAAATTCCATTCACATTTTAGATCAAGGCATTGACCATGTAATTTTACATGGCAATGACTAAGTCGTTAGCCTTATAGTCTTTCGTTCTGAATTGTGCAAAAAGTAGAGTCCGGATTCCCCCTTATCAAAACCGGCAGGAAATAATTTCTTCTGGCAGCGACACTAAATCCCAAAAGAGTTGATGACAGCTGTGTTCCCAGAAAAAATTGTTAAAATATGAGTTGCAAGTGTTGATTTATCTGGTTACAAACGTGATAATCTCAGTTGCAAATCAGGCATGTAAGTCTTCTACGTCACTCTTCCACTGACTTGTAGCTGTCATTAAATTGAACTTTTGGGACCTAACCGTTATTCCCCGACTTTTTCACCTTTTTCATTTTAATATTTTGATGATGTGTCAAGATCCATTCTTTTTAATGTGCCATGACTAGGGCTACAGCATTGAAGTAGGTGTATAATTTCTTTGCTTCCCCCCCCCCCCCCCCGGGGCTATGGGAAGGACGTAGAAATTCTTCGCTTTCTTTTGTTGTGATTTGCCAGCAGAACATGGTTCGAGGATGCCTTGATGGTCACTAAGTTATGCTTTGTTATTAGGTTATGTACATGACTGGTTGGAGGGAACATCCTTCTCAGCAGAAGGCTAAAAGAAGAGGATCTGCTACAGTATCATTCCAGGACATTCAGGAACAATTTGGAAGCCAGGGTTAAATTGAGTTTTAGACCTCATATGGATATATAGTGAAATTTTGTTATTAATATCAAAATAAAAAGAATCGTACATTTATTTACTTTCTTGAACTGTGCCTCTTTGAAAATGCAACTTGGAAGAGGATGCTGTAGCCAAAGAGCCTTGGCTCTGATGGGGGAGGGCTAGGGTGGGTAAATCAAGAAGAGGATGCTGTAAAAGCCATTATGGCTTTTCTAATTTAAAACAAATAAATTTGTTTTCTTGCATTCTCATAAATTTTCGTTGAAGCACTTGAATGTTTAAAGGCAGCTCAACCCTTTCAATTCAAATACGTGTGTGTGTGTGTGTTTTTTTTTTTTTAAATGTCGAAGCATTTTTTAATACCATTAAGGTTATTATTAAATTAATACTATGTTTAAAAGCTTATCGTTAAAGATTCGTATGCCTGTTAATTTTATCTTTAAAAAATTTTTCATTAAATGAGTTTGGAAATTCTATTTAAATAGAAGCTCTTAATTTGTACAAAGAAAAAGGGTAGCATTGCATTTGCTCTCAAGTTTGAGTACATACGAATTCCGTAAGTTTAAATTCTTTCTTACTTCTTCCGAGGAATAATTTCAACTTTTCATTTGAAGATCCATTTCCCTGTTCTTGCTGTGTATTAGATTGCTTCGGCCCCACCAGTGCTCTTTTAATTTTCTTTTTCTATAACGAGAAGAATATAAAGAAAAAGGAGGCATTTTTAAGAATCATACAAATATGCAATATTATAATTTATTGAGATTTTTTTTTTTGTGAATAAAAATTTAGATGAGTTAGTCCTAAGGGTTCATTAGAGTCAGGTCATGCTTATAGACTTAAAGAGCACTTATAGGGATATTTATAGATTGTCAGTTCTTTGTATTGGCTATAGAATTTGAACTTATAATTTTGTAGGTTATGAGCTGATTTTTTTTTACTAACTAAATCAATTCTTGTTGGCAGCTTGTTGAGATGTCTACCCCTTTTTTTAATTTTCTTTTCTTTTGAAAAAAAAGAAGAGGGGTCAATTTTCAAGAATCATACAGTATCATAATTTATTGAGACCTTTTATATACGAGTTAGCATAATTTGATGCTTCTTCAGGTATAAAAGGATACAATGTATCATTTTACTGTGCAGTGAACCTATAAACCATGAAGTGCTTATATGTCTCTCCAGGATTCACAATCTGAGATGGAAAATTTGGGTGATTGACTGAATCTGGAAAACCTTGTGTCTCCAAGCAAAGAGCAGCATACTGATGATAGGTGACACCATTTTTGCCTTTCACATCCTTCAACATGTTGCTTGTATAGAATTGAACACCAGGTTGATTTGACCATAGCTCCATCTTCCTCCCAGAAACTGAGTCCTTCACAACAGCAACCTTATTGAAGTGATTTGAAACAGTGTTCTTGTCCACCACATAGTTTATGTCATAGCCATCAGGAAGGCCATGAATCTGACTTCCAATTTCCTTTGGCTCAAGGAAGTCATATGGGGTTCCCTTCACCGGCTTGAGCTCACCGGTCGGGATGAGTTCACCGTTCGTCGGTGTGATTTGTGAGGCGAAAAGTTGGATGCTATGTGTGAGAATGTCTCCACTGTCATGGCCTCTCAGGTTCCAGTAACTGTGCTGAGCTAAATTCACTGGTGTGGCTTTGTCAACAGCCTTGGCTTCCATCTTCACTATCAATTTGTTAGTTTCATAAAACATGTATGTCACAGCAACCTCAAGTTTGCCTGGAAAACCTGAAAAATTTTGCAAGAAATATATGATAAGAGTACTTATAGATGTTTGAATATTTTCTGTCATAAGCCAAGAAATTGAATTGTACCTTGTTCTTGGTCGGAACTAACATAGGTGAACGTGATATGACTGTCCATTTTGTAGGAAGCTACATTCCATACAACATCACCGAAACCCTTGAACCCGCCTGATATGAACAATTATAAACAATGAAGAAATTAATTATTCAATTATCATCATTAGGCGAAAAGAGTTGATTATATGTATGGTATGAGTATAGCATGTAGAAAAACAAGTTATATTTTGGTTATGATTATGGTTAAAGTTCAATGGTAAATATAAGCCTAATGGTATGAAAATTCCTCCATAAGTGGAAAATCATGAATTTGATGATCTGTCTGTAATCTCAGGCTCACCGATATATTGCAATTATAGTTGCTTGTGCTTTTAATATATGTATAACGATGAAATTGCTAATACTACCGCCGACTTTTAATATAAAATCTGATTGGTTAATTTGGAGAGATTAGGGACATTAGTTGAATTACTACTTCCAGTTCTTAATATAAGAGCTAGTTGACTAATTTGAGTAGATTAAGAAAATTAGCTAAGTTAGTTGTTTGTAATAAATATGTGTAGTTTTTCCTAAAATATTTTTGCTAATCAAGTGGATTGGCTATAACTACTATTATTACAAGGATTATATTGACAAAAAATAGATAAATATAAGAGACAAAATAAATTAGGATCTTATATTTAGGATCAAAATAAAAGTCAAATAAGCTCTTATATTAAGAACTGGAAGTAGTGGTTATTTGTAATAAATAGATATTGTTTTTTCTAAAATAGCCTTGCCAATAATGTGTATTACTTAAAACTACCATTTGAAAGAACATTTAACATGTGTAACTGACTACTTTAAAAAAATAGATAAATATGACAGACAAAGTGAATTGAGGTTTCATATTTAGAATCAAATTGGATATCAAAATAACTCATATATTAATTAATGACGGGAGGTAATATATGCATATACGTATGGATGTATGAATGTACCGTGAAGTGTGTTCTTTCCATCATTGGCAGGCAACTGGTAGGTTTTGCCATCTAAAGTGAAGTGAGCTCCTCCAATTCTGTTAGCCACACGTCCAACTAGGGCACCAAAATATACTGTATCATTCTGCAACATTTCAAAATAATTTCTTTAAATGCCAATTTTTTATTTAAATTGAAATAATTGGCATCTTATCTTTATTATAAAGTACTCCTCCGGTCCTAATTATAAGACCCAATTGACTTATTTGAGGAGATTAAGGAAGTAAGTTAAGTTAGTTATTTATAATAAATAAGTGTTGTCATTCCTAAAATATCCTTGCTAATTAAGTATATTGGCTAAAACTATCATTATTAGAAGGATTATCTTGGAAAAAAATGCATAAATATAAGAGACAAAATGGATTGGGGTCTTATAATTAGGACCAAATAAAAAGTCAAATGGGGTCTTATAATAAGGACCGGAGGAGTAACATTTATATGCGTAGCCTATTCTTTAACGTTTTGTCAAGGTTAAAATGGAGAGGTCCGTGCTAGAAGATGAAAGGAGTGGTTGTGGAAGAGTCATCCATGAAAATGAAAACAAATGGATGTGGTTATAATTGCAAGCTCATGATGAAAGGCTTTAGAAAATTTTTTCTTCTTTCTGATTGTATGGAAGCTATTAAACTGTAGAGACCATAACACTGCTGAACTTCTAGAGACATTGTGGATGAAGCTGTTATTAATTCATTGAGATTGGCAGGTCCTGTTAGGTCATATGCTAAGGGAAGAGAACTCTCCTGCTGACAAGTTAGTTAAATTGTTTTATAAGACGAATCACATTTTTATATCATTGATCACCCTTTTTTAAATAAAGTGGGAATTGATGAAGGAATCGTTTTTGTTGTATTTGTATATGTTCTGTTTTTGAGCAAATGAATTTCAATTTATACTATAAAAAAAAATCAGCAAACGCTGTGCACAAATTTAACGAAAAACCATCATCTTTCAAAATCTCAATTTATATCCCAAAATGTTCAAAGAAACTTCCATGCATGCATTAACCAATTTATGAATGTGATATTTTCTTACCATGTTATGAATATAATATTTAAATATTATGATTTTTGTATCAAAAACCCAAAAAAAAATCAAATTTTTTGGTTTGTCTCATACCTTGTAAGTCTCAACTGAATCATAGCCCAGAACAACATCGGCCAAATTTCCTGGACAAACAAACACGATAAAAACCATTTTAAGGATGCAATAACAACAAACATTATTCTATTAAATAAAATCAGCTACAAAGAACATAAGATAATGGCAAAGAATAACAATAAAAAAGAATTTCTATCATAAAAAATGAGCGAAAAAGAAGAAAAAGAGACAAACCATTTTTATCTGGGACAAGTAAAGACATGATAGTAGCACCATAGTTTGTTAATTTGATCTGAAATTGTCCTCTTTTTAGCTCATAAATGCCTATGTTGGAATTTTCTGCATGAGAAAGAACCAGGATGCCCAGAAGAATGCAGAAAGCCAACGACAAGTTGGACATCATGAAACAAAGAAGGGACGATATTTCGATCAATCTGAGGTATTAGGTTCACTGCAAAAAAATGAAGCCTGAAACGTGTGTATATATAGAGAGAGAGTTTTGAAGATAAACATAGGTAGGCTATTTTCAAATTAAGGATTTGGGTTATACGGTTTTAGAAGCAAACCAATTCTTGCCTCAATTTGACTGGAATATTTCAGTTTGTGGATAGGGCTATAATTAGGCTCTTATCTAATCTAATTGCGTTTGTGCTTAGTATGATTGCACGCCTTTTTCTTAGAATTTTTCCTTTTTCCCCCTAATTAATTTTGTTGATTACTTTCACTTATAATCAAATTACAACTTTTATCAGCAAAGCCGGTATAGTTGGTATATGGCTAAATGCCTTCAACATGATGCTTTGGGCTCAAGCTAGGGTGTGTGCATGAAAAACATTTTGTTAGAAGAGGCAAAACACACTTTGGTGATCTCTACCCTCAGAAGAATTAGTCTCTAGCTATCGGCCTGGGAATATTGCCTTATTTTTAATTACCAAGAAAAAATTATACCTTTTTCATTTTTAATTACCTTTTGTAGTAAAATTATAGTGGTTTGTTTATGTATCCACACCTAAAGAAAAGGAAATTTGTTTGAAAGAAGAGAATACATGTAAGTTTACACTTCCTTTGATCCTAATTACAAGGTATTTCCAGCCATTTCATCAGAATAAAAGAAAAATAGTCAAGTCAATAAATTTGTAGTTAATACCCTACTTGATAACTTACATATATAGTTCCTCGTATATCAAATATAAGTAATCTCTATCTAATTTGGTCGTACCAATAAAAGTATCTAAGAAGCATTAAGTTTATCATAAAATTTAACTAATTTTTCATATTATTTTAAACTAAACTCAAACATTATATTAGTTTTTATTCTGTCACGCTACATGTATTAAATATGATCAAATACGAAAATTATATAATATTCTTTAAAATTACCAACTATCTTATAAAAGAACTAAAAATACATTTTAGAAAACGTTCTTTATATAATAGAGACTAAAGGGAGGGTGTGCTTGTGTGTGTGTGTGTGTGTGTAAATGGATGATAATTGGATTTTTGTGCCAACGCTAATCATAATGATAATTCATGCATATGAATTGATTATTACGATAAGAATGTGATTAAAATTCATTTATGGCAGAGTGTACCCGATCAGAGATTGATTATTACCTTTTTTATTTTGGCCAACCATTCATTTCAAATCTTTGGATATTTAGAACAACGCCACGTAAAGAAAATCATACATGGTTTTGTCATCGACAAAAAATCACATGTTTTTGTTTGGCCAAACTATAAACAACATATATTGATAATTTAATTAAGTTTTATTTCACGTGTGTGTGTGTCTATATATATATATATATATATATATATCAACCAGTATATTTATCATTGGCATCTTAAGAAATTTCATAGTCATTTTTCTCAGCATACTAAGGTGAAAAACTCCTCCGATCCTTAATGTACTGGTGAGAGATATTTAATTAATTTGTGTAGTTTAAAAAATTAAATAAATTATCTTATTCTAATAAATATGGTGTGATCTACTTAAAATATTTCGATGTAACATTATATATATATATATATATATCAATTTATAAGTGAAATAAATTTATTTTTTGAAAATAATAAAGATGAGAGATAAATTAGATTAAGATCTTATATTTAAGATCAGTATTAATTTTCTAACTATCTTATATATTTAGGACTCAATAAGCAATACATTCCTCCCCAAAAATTCCCATAAGAAAAAAAATTCTGGATGAATTTCTTTCAGAATAAGTGACTAAATCTTTGACGTAAGTGTATAATTTTGTCTTTATTATTTTTATTGTATAAATTATTATTTTCCTGAAAAATGCATATATTAAATTGAGTTAGAATTGAAAAACTAATTAAATTTTAAAATAGAATTAATGATTAATGTTTTTCTTTATTTCAGCGAAACATGATATGACAATAATTTGATAAAGGCTCATGTTATAATATCTTACTCCCTCCGTTTCTTTTTATTCAAAACATTTGACAAAATCACGTCAATCAGAAAGTTAATTAAAATTGATTAGAAACAATAAATATGTAAAAACTATAATATTTTTCTCAAAAATACCTTTATTCATATACGGAGAGTACAAGAGAGAACAACGTAACATTCCTGTCTCGTTTTCTTGCAAGAATGGTGTGTACATTGTTAAATCAGGCTATCAATTTGCAAAAAATGAAGAGGAAGAGATAGCTTCAGTGAGACCTGGAAGTTCTTGTAATGTTCCTACAGAACTCTGGAATTGTATTTGGAAGCTGCAAATTCCTCCCAAAATAAAGCATTTCATGTGGAGGCTTCTGAATGGAGCCATTGCAACCAAGGAGGCTCTATTTAAGAGAGAGTGTGCAAGGGATATGATCTGTCCGATAAGTCAAAACGATAATAAAACCATTGAACATCTTGTTTTGCTGTGTCCGTGGGCTAAAAAGTGCTGGTTTGGTTGCTCATTATCTCTGAATATTAACAGCGACTAGGTACTTTGTTTCAAAAGACGGCTAGAACAATTGTTCCTGCATAATAAGAATATTGAAGTCATGGATCAATCTCTTATTGCAACTTTACGTTGGGGCATTTGGAAAGCAAGGTGTGAATTTGTTTTCCAAGAGGTTCAAATAGATCCAATGAAGGTAATCTCATCGGCATCTTTACTAGCATATGTGGTGTGTGCTTCTAAAAGCAATGAAATTGTTCAAGGAAAGAGGCGTGGTGCTAGTCACATGTTCAGGGAAAGGGAGTTAACTTGGAAAGTGCCTATAATTGGTTCCCTAAAAGTAAACTTTGATGGTGCTTTCAGTAAAAATCCTGCTTGCTTTGGAATCCAGCTTATTTGCAGAGATCATAATGGCTTCTCTCTTGGAAATATGTGCGACAAAACAATAACTTTTTCTCCCTTTCATTCGGAATGTTTGGCTCTGAGAGATGCTATACTCTATGGTGTATCAGTTCGGTAGTTCTAATATTACCTTGGAGATACTAATGGGTTAGGTCTAGCAGAAGAAGTTAGTTTCTCGTAACGTGGTGAGCTAATATTTGAATTCGATAGAGATGTCCACATTTAATCCTCAACATTGTCTCGATTGTCTCTAACAGGAAGATATCTATGCCTTAAGAAGAAGAAAAAATTCTTGGAGTTGGACACAGATTGTCAAGATCTTTTCAAGGCTGCAGTCAATAATTCTTCTGCAGCTACAGGATGGCAGTGTACAACTATATTTGCTGACTTTCTTGGTTTATTGAAGGTAAGGCCTCGTATTCATCTCATTTTGGTCTCAAGAGGTGGTAATAGTACTGCAGATTACCTTGCAACTTGTGCAAAGAATGGGATGGCTTCAAATGAAACGCGTGTTTAAGCATCATCTCATTTTAAACAGCTTTTGAATAATGATACTATTAATTCAGTGAAAGTTCAGTCCTGCGTATGAAATTTGAATGTTTCAGGCCGTACAAGAGTAGGTTAGGTTAAGTCCCCGTTGTTGGCCTTTTTTATGTCTTGCAGACTGTGCTTTCATTAGTAAAATGTTTCTTCAGTCAGAAAAAAGGAAAATTATTAGAATAAAGAAGATTAAGAGAAAGAATGTGTGGTGGGAAGAGAGTTTGAGTAAAGAAGGAAATAATACTTACAGTTCGTATGGTAATGAATGCATTGATATGAAAATGAATAATTAAATAAGGTAAAACAAGAAATTAATAAAGAAAACTTGAAACATCCTCTATATATAAAAAGGACCGTATAAAAATGTTAATATTAAATCAAGATATTATCACAACTCAAGTTCCTAAAGTTAGTGCTTATTTTCCTTTATTCCAGCACTATTGCTTTTTCAAAAAATTCTTGATTAGATATTAACCTTCTTATCAATTTTTAGTTGTACGTCATACGCGAGAGGGGCACACAATGAATAGATTGGACCAGACCAGAGTTTAACCTAAAGTTTGGTCTTATTTTTTGTCAGATTAGATTTGGCAGTCCGTGATTTAGTTTAATTCAATAGTGACCTGAGATTGACATAAATTGGATTTGGTCCACCAAACTATCTAAACTAGTTTAGGACCTTCATTTTCTTTTAGAAACAAATTCTTTATAGGAAGCAAGATTTCGTACCAATAAACACAATTAAGAGAATAAAAAAACCTATAATCATATAAAAATCATCCCAAAACATTAAGACTTAATCATAAATCAATAATAATTTCTAACAATATTAAATAACAATAAAAAGCAACATTCTAAATTGCAAAGTATTTTTTTTAAAAAAAAATCACCTATACCAAAATAAACTAGTCTAAGTGGTCTAAATACTTGGGTCTCAAACCAAGTTCAACCTAACCAACTAGTTTGATATACTTTTATCACATTATTTATGACTTGACTGAATTGAACCAGATCGTCGGTTTTTTTTTTTCACACCCCTATCACATTCCCTTTAAATTTTAGTATGTTTGTTTGTTGTCCCCCCTCCCCCCTTATTGGTGTTTGTATCATGTTCTGTTTTTGGTGATTAATAAAATCCAATTTTCTTTGGGGGAAAAAAAATTTGCGGTGTGTATAAAATGATTAAAATCCAACCATGACAGAAATGGTTCGGCCTAAATGGGTTGGCCCATATAACTCATTATATGGTCCTGCCGAAACATCCGTCTTCATTTGGTCCCTCTTAGGGTGTGTTTGGAAGCACCCCAAACCATGGTTTTGGAACCCAAACCATGGTTTGGGAAAAATGTTAGCCAAACACCCTTAAAAAAATCAAAACCATGGTTTGGGTTCAAAACCATGGTTTTGGAAAAAGCAGAAATTTTTTACTTTTGGAGAAAAAAGGAAGAGTGTGAGAGCTTATAAGATATGTATTTTGTTATTTTTTTTTATAAACATATTTTTTATAAACATATTTAATCTTATATCTTATAAATATATATACATATTAATTATTTATTAATTATATTATCTTATATATTATTAATATATGTTAATAAAAAATATATTATTAACAATTTTATTCCTTCAAATTAAAATATATCATAAAATATATTTTTTCTATAATTATCATATTAATTTATGCCAATTTGTATATATAAAAAGTACTTCTAATAACAACTATCCAAACACTCACACTTCTCAAAATCTCATCTTTCCAAAATTTATTTTTTTTCAGAATCTATTCTCCAGAAGCTATTTTCCAAACCATGGTTTGGTTTCATCCAAACACACCCTTAATGTCCTCACCAAGCTATTAAAGATTCAAAATATTATTGCCATTTTTTTTTTCGATGAGGATTATTGCCATTTTCAAAGCTCCATTTATGATGTTTTGAAGGAATGTCCAAGTTTTCTTGTTTTTTTTTCAAATGTATCAACATATCCCGGATGGCGTTCTTTGAGCAATAAGGGTTTATATTGATATCTCTTTGTGGTCACCATATTTATTTGTTACCATTATGTTACTTACACTCGGGTTTTTTCGGCAGAGTCAATTTAATACTTTAATTATTTTTTTTTAAAATATAATAAATAAGACATAAGATTTTTTTTAATATTGATTTTTAAAAATAAAATAAAGATAAATTGAAACACTATTCTATTCCAAACCTCTTTATATCAAGCAAGTTAGTGTTCTTTAAATTAAATACAATTACTGCTTTTGAAACTTAAATATAATTAATAACAATAAATTATACTTTGCGTACATTAAATTTTTTAAATTTTCAATATGTTATTTTTTAATATAAAAAAGTTTACATGAGTTGGGATTACCGGGATCAAGATATGATTTCTAAGTTAAAGAACCCTTACAGATGTATGTAAAATATTAAATGGTTAGTTTGGGATTATTATTCACTACTTCTAATAAAAAAATATGCCAAGATAATACAATGTAGCATTTATAATTATATTTTATTAAACAATTTTTTCCAATTTTATTGAATATTTTATAAAGTATAAAAAATAACTTGAATAAAATAAGGAAAAGTTATACATATAAAAGTACCTTCATTCATTCAGGCTTAACTTGTGGATTCATCACAGTCTCGAAATATGCATGCTAGGTACAACACTATCCTAAAATTATAGACACTAATTGAAACTAAATACAGGATAATCACCATTACATATCTAAATTTAATCTTGATTCCATAGCAAGGGAAAGAGAAAGGGAGAGTGGGAAAGGGAAACAGAATGAGGGTCGGCAAGAGAAACATGGAAGAGAGAACATATGCATCTATCAAATCTAATATCAAAATACTTCCATTCTCTTCCATCCAAAATAAAAAAACAAGAATTATTAAAATATCTTCCCTCTTCTCCAACCAAGCAAAGCCATGCATTACTTTTTTCACCTCCATTGAACTAAACACCTTTAAATAATTATGAAAACAATTGTGAACTTAATTAAACATTCATCAATCATAAATTAAGTGACCATGTTAAATGTGTGTGAACAAGGGTAAGTTACATTGAAGTTGGATCATATGCATAAGTTAGTTAGTTAGATGTCCCAATTACACCATTAACTAATTATGAATAATCAAGTACCTCTGATACTAATCAATATCAGGCATCCATTAATTAGTATTAGTAACTTCTAATAACATTATATTCATCTCTAGATCCAAAGACTTTTAATTGTCTTTATTTTGAATCTAGTATTTGGAGAAAAATGATGTAAAGAAATCATGGAAGTTAAGTTATTGTAATACATAGTTTATGTCCTACACGCCTACTTGCTTCTTTTCTTTTTAAATTTGAAGGGTATCATGTTATATTATAGCACTCAGGAGTTTTGAAGTAATACTAACTATTCCTACTTATTTTTTGGCAAATAATATTTTGTCTTTATACTTTTAGCAGCATTTGAGAAGTACATATAGATTATAGTGTCTTTTAAATTTATTGTTAATCTTAGTATGCTAACAATAATAGTTGATAACTCTAGATAATTATTAAAGTATCAAATAACTTTTATGAATTGTCATTATTATTTTCAGTCATACAAGTTTGGGAGAGGGGAAACTTAAAAATGTGGGATGGATTAGGACTTGTGGTTTCCTATCAAATTATTTTTCAATCAAGAGATTTTCTTTTACTTTATGATAGGTCTCAAATGATAGGTGATCTTTTGAATAAGTATTATTTTTTTCCACCATCTAATTTTGGAAAGGTGGTTGTTGGAGAGTTGAAAGTGTTAAAAAATATTAGTCTTTCAGATATTGCATTTGCATAGGAAATATTTAATTAACCAAATTAAAAATTAAAAATTTCTCATATGATGAATTTTTCAATTTATTATTTTATCAATAGTTGGCAAGTTTTGGATGATCAAGATGAGATTCTTTTAATTGAACCTGTGTCATTCTTTAACTACTTTTCTTTGTTTCATCCTGATAACCAAACCATCTTTAAATTTGGGAGAAGTCTCACCACCCTCCATAAGGTATGCAATCTACTAATTGATTTCTTCTATAGCCCTATGTTAATATCCTTTTTTTGGCTTTAATCTTGTTACTGCATGATATCAGCATGAGTTGAACAATTTATAGTTTTGCAAGAAATGGATGTGGATATGTTACAATTCGTTCCTCTCTTCAAAAGAGATTGAGGGTTTTGCTTGACATTCTTTATGTGAGGCTCTCTTTTTTACTTTTTTTTTTTTTTGACTGAGACGTGTGAAGTTTATATCAAGTAATCCCTCAAATTGCTTTAAGATTAGAAGCAATGTTTTGTTATTCTTGCACTGTAAGCTTTCATTCTCATTTGCATTAGACAAGCTTCACAACACTCATTAACATATGATGGAGATTTAATTGTGTAGGATATTAGGTCCCATATTCAGTTGAAAGGGATGATTGATGGATTCTTTAATTAGATTGGTTCTCATACTTCTAATACTATTTAAGGACGAAAGACAAGTGGTCAATTTTTATGAATAGTAATAATGTTACTATTTATATGAAAATATTTATATATTGTAAAACTTAACATTTACTATCTAAAATAAAAATATAATTGAAAATACAGTTTTTTTGTACTTTTTTTCTTTTCTCGTTTTTTGGCTTATCAAGTGGAGCTTAAAAGACAAATTAAACCAGGGAAAATAAGAGAAAGGGACCAGGTGGAAATAATATTTATTAAGAAAGACCTTAAAAACCTTAATTATTTAAAGGGACCAAATATTAAAATATAAACTTAAAAGATTGAAATCAACCCTATTCACATCACAACCCTCATATTCTTTCACCACTTTCTATAATTTTCATATCATTTAGTAGAACAATTTCAATTCATTTGAATTAATTCAAACTAATTTAAATTTCAAAGTCAGAGGCTAATTCTAATTAATTAAATTAGTAGCCAACACTATCTAATTTATTTTTCATTATTTTTAATTAATAATTTTTGTGGGCTTTTTGAAAAATGAGTAGGGCAATAAAATTCTACTATTCACAGAAAAAAAAGTTGTTCCATATGTTTACTTATATATTTTATTCTATTATTTTATTTGAATGAGTTGAATCCTCTTACTTAATAAAATTAAAAATTTAAAATAAAAAGTGACATAAGAAATTCATTATATCAATAAATATTTGTCATGATAAAAGTAGTTATAATAGTTCAAGTTTAAATCTACATCATTTTTTTTTCTTATTAATTATGGATAAGTTATTTATTATTTATTATTATATCACTTTTTTAATTTTTAATTCAATTATATGATTTTGATCGGCTCATTATTCAGGAAGCCCAAAATAGGAGTTTCATTTTTTTCGAAGAATGACGGAGGAATAAATTAATTAGTGTTATAATTTAATTGGTTAGAATTGTTTCGTAACATTGTAATTCCAATTAGGTTGAACTAATTTGAATAAACTTTAATTATTTTGTTAAAAAATTATAGGACGTGGCGAGAGACAATGTATGGGATTTTGTTAAGGGCAAATTGGTAATTTTAAATTTACATTTTAGTATTTGGTCCTTCCAAATAAATACAATTTTTAAGATCTTTCTCAACAAATATTGTTACCACTAGGTCCCTCTCCCTAATTTTCCCATTAAACCATTCTAAAGTCTGAAATGAGCAATACAAATCCAATATTTCTAAAGTCTAAATTTTAATCCAAAAATATAAATCTTCCTTCATCATGGTGTACATTTTTTCACTAGCATGATGGGAGTAGGAATTGTTTTTTTTATTACTCTCACAAATATGAACTAATTCTTTATTAGTTTCAATACTGGCTATACGAGCAAATGACATAGTGTAACCCATTAAATATTGACACTAGAATGAATTCTAATTAGCAACGTTAAATTTACTATAAAGTTAAAAGAACCAAATTTTAGTTGGAAAAAAAAAAAACTGAAATATTCAGGCACCTTGAAAAGGCCAGCCCCTATTCCCAGACAGCGTGGCACAAAGGGCCCAACGTTAAAACGACGCCGTCTGGCGTGTGTTTCCCACAGCTTCAAGTTCATTCCTATTGTTGTTCGTGCCAGGTGACCTGTGCGCTCCGGAACCATCAGCTTCCCTGAAAACCTCTATTCGGAGTTGAGCAGTTGAGTTGCTGTGTGAGTGCTAAGGAAGGACAATGGCGAATGTGCTGAAGAGCGTGAAGGTTCCTCCGAACTCGGTGAATCTGGAGGAGGCAAGGCAACGAGTCTTCGATTTCTTCAGGACTGCCTGCAGATCAATCCCCACCATCATGGAAGTCTACAATCTCAGCGAAGTCGTCACTCCCTCTCAGCTCCGCTCCACTGTCTCCTCCGAGATCCGAAAGAATTCCCACGTTACCAATCCTAAGGTCATTCTCTCTCTCAACAATGTGCTTTTCCCGTCGATTAAGGGTTTTTTGCTAATTTCTTTCCCCTTCCTCCGACAAGTCGGGATTCTTTTTCCTGGGTTTTTCGGGGTAAAGCTTTTACCTTTTCTTAGGGAAGTTTGATTGAAAATGAGCAACTTGTTTTCTGCGGGGAAGGTAAACGTTAAAACTGGGGTAATACAATTCTTGGTAGTTTGCGGATGTTCTGTGAATTCATATTTAGACATTTGTTATTCGTGCTGGGAAATATTAATCTTGTAAGGCTCTATTTGTCAGGAAGAATGTTCTTGGCGATATTGAAGTTTAGAGCTTAATGATTAAAAAAAATTATTAGATGGTTAGATTAGTTAGAGTTCGAAAGAGCTAGATATTAAAGGTTTCTCTCAGGGCTGTGTATAGAAATCATATATCAAAACTGTTGCACAGTAGCTTCTCTTTGAACACGAAGTCATAGGCTTAGTTTGGTTTCTGGAACTTATTCCCTTTTTAATGATGTGCTGGTGGGGATTCACTAGAATAGAGAGGCACTAAATCTAAAAATAATGCTTCATTTCACATGTCTTTGTGGTTGATTATCTTCATATACTGTCTGATCCTTGTTGAGGTTTACGGATGACCGTCATGGTGATAGTAATATGTTGTAGAAATGTAGATAAGTCGCAGCATTTGCATTATCTTCAAATCCTTTTATTTGCTTTCAAACATAGAGATGCCATCTTTAAGGAAGGGAAGAATATTTAATCTTGTTTTCTAAAGGTTTCAAATGTTAAAAGACTGCTATTTATTGGTTTTGATGAGTCAGTTATGTCTTTTTTTAAGGTGGTCACAACCTTATTGTGCAATGGCTTATAATCTTGAGCTTAGTTCGTTTTTTATGAGATTCTTTTTGCTAAACTACATGTCAGGCTTATTTGGGAGAGAAAAGGATTTCTTTGCTAAACCTATAAATGGGCTAAATCATTGGAATTTGGAAATTCTGAATTCTGAACAAGAAATGCCTTCAGACCCGCATAAGCAAGGCTAAATGATTAAATGTCAATGATGGAGACTCAAAAATGCTTAGCAGAAGAAATTAATGTACTTTTTTTTAATTAATGCTGGAAGTTTTGTGAATTGCTAGAGAATAAGATGCATTTTATGTTCCTAAAAAAAGTTAACCTTTTTTCAAGCCTTGGGTAGTAAAATAGGAGGTGAGAATTCAAGAGGCTAGAACATACTCTCTCCTTATAGAGAATTTACAATGTTAAAAGCCCATTTCAACTCAAGGCTTATTAATAGTTTTATTATAATCTCTAGGATGCATCTTCACACAAAAGCCCAATTAACTTGAAGTTTAGACAAGGAAATGCCTCATCATGCCTTGTCATGAAACTTAATTTTAATTAATAGGAGTGGGGTATGGTAAGGATCAAACTTTGACTATTCTGTCATTGAGGCTTTGAAGTACATCAGGAACCTTTGCTTAAGCTGTTAGGTGAAAGTACATGAATCATTTATATGGAAAAAAGGCTGCACATATTTTTGCACATTTACCAAGGTAGCTATCTAATCTTTTGCATACCCAACTACCAAGTTTTTCTGCGTAAGAGCCTAACAAATGGGAGGCTGCACCAATATTTACATAACATGCATGAAGAAAAGCTTTACATATATTATAACTCAATGACTTGGGTTTTCTTTGCAAGAGCCCAACAAAACTTGCACCCAAGATTTTCTTGCTAGCTCTGCAATACTCTTACAAAGGAATTTAATGCTCGCAGAAGAGCTTCTCACAGCGACTCCTATAGAGTGCATCTGCCACTAAATCTCAGTATAACATATAAACTATAATAAAGCGTCTTTCAGCCTCTTGAATTGTCCTCTTATGCCTCAATGCTTCGATCTAGTGGTGCATTTTTTTTCTTGACATTTTCTTGCTCTAAAGGCATACAGATCCCTTCTTTGCCTTTTTCGTACATTTTATAGCAGTGCCTTTTAAAATTTGGATTCGTAGATATACGCGTGTCAGTTATGTTTCCTTGATCACTTGCCATTCAGCTCAAGTGGGTTATAGTACGCATTATGTGTCTATGAGCTTCTCGTCTTTTTCATTTTTTTCATTGTCCATGGTCAAAAGTGGACAAAATAAGGTTACTGAGTAGTTTCATTTTCAAATAAACTTAGGTTTAGCTAAAGATGAAAGAAAAAAGGATTCTTGTGCTTAGAAAGTTGCACGTAGTAGGTTCAAGATTTTACGATTTGCTTAAAGTAATCAAGCACTTTTGAGTTTTCAAATTGTGTATTTTTGGAAATATAATCCTGAGAAAGCATAAATGAACTGAACTTATAGGAATCTACACTTAAATCATATTAGAAAAATTGAAACTTTTAATGCGTGATGTTAAAACGTGATTCTTTGTTCTGTACCCTTGGCAAAATTTCCAATTCAAGCATGTTGTGTGATTGGGTTATTGTCTTTCCGTTTATCATCTATTGTAGTTATTTGTTTGTCTTGTTTTATTAGAATTCCCAAGTTACTACCTTGTGTTATTTGAAAACTTGCCTAGTCCCTTCGTTTATTCACTTGGTTCCCTTCCAATGGCAAAATTTTTAAAGATGAATAGTTCACGATTGATTCTGTTTACCCATGGTATGTATAAGAAGCAATGTTTTGTGCTTTTTGCATCTGTAATATTCTTTCAAATGTGGTTCTCCTATCATTGAATCGGTGCATCAAGGCCAGTGATAATTGGAAGACCTTGAATTTGAATTAAAATATTGCTTTGGTAAAGACGTAAGAAATTTAGCTGTGGAAGAGGATTTTTTTCCCCCTTTTGATTATTGCTGATAATTGTTGACATTCAGGTGATTGATCTGATGCTCTTCAAGGCAATGGAAGAGTTGAAGGACATTGTGGATCATGCAAAGCAGAGGCATCATATCATTGGCCTGTACGTGGTAGGTAAACAAGGGCTTGTGCAGGATTTGGGCACAAAAGACCAGGGAATCTCTCCCTTTTTGAAAAATTTCTACAAGAGCAATTACTTTTGAAGTCTGCTGTTTTGTCTTCCATTTGCTCAAATAAAGAATTATCTGAAACTGTTTTGACCTGCTGTTGGATAATATTTAGATGATGGGACTTTGTTTCAGATTTAACTGTTGTATTACTGACTGTTCTATTAATGCTAATACACATGTATCTACCATCATTGCAGAAGGTAGACGTTGTTTCTTAATGGAGTGTATTGGCTTGATATGTAAAAGAATAAAGGAAAATGGTTTTTGACTTTCCATTTATTATAGTACACAAGGGCCAAGAGGCTACTAGTTTTTCATGGGACTTGCATGGTGGTGTCATATTTGCATGTATGCTTAGAGGGAGTCATAGACAGCGCGGTTCATTTCAGATTCCTCATAAAACCTAGTTAGGCAGGCTTTCTAAAGGTGTCAAGAATACCCTTAAATTGAAGATCCCTTATGATGTATGTAAAAGGCGGAAGGGATTAGTCTATTGGAACTCAATTCAACAAACTTAGAAAGTAATACTACCTCCGGTCCTAATTATAAAAACCAGTTGACTAATTTGAGGGGATTAAATAAGTAAGTTAGGTTAGTTATTTGTTCTAAATAGGTGTTGTCTTTCCTAAAATATCCTTGCTAATCAAGTGTATTATTGACTAGAACTCTTATTATTAGAAGGGCTACTTTGAAAAAAAATATATAAATATAAGAGACAAAGTAGATTGAGGTCTTATATTTAGGACTAAAATAAAAGTCAAACAGGATTTTATATTAAGGACCGGAGGTAGTATAATTTCAAGTTGGCATTCATATTTCTTCATCTATTAAATATAATGGATTCAACTGAAGGACCGTCAATAGCCTGTCTCAGTTTATGCCGGGAACAATCTCAGATATCATTTTACTAATACGCACTGATTTTTGTATGAGGTTTTTATCATTTTGCTACCAAAACCACATAATGAACATAATGGATTGGAAAATTAGAGAACTCAAGGATGGCCTTTTCAGTGCTCATAAACAATTCTAAGCTCAATTTTTCCATACCCTGAAATAAGTTGGTGTAAATAGCATAATTATAAAACTGTCCCCGCAAACCTATTATTAATACATTTTTGTCAAACTCCTGCCCTCATCTCAGGTTCCAAGTTCTAGTATATTCACAATGATTTCTATTAGAAAAAAAATGTCTGAAATAATCAATGCCATCAATTCGGAGGAAATAATGAAATAAATCACCTCTCTATACTGAAACTTGGAGGGCATATCGCCATAAATCTAAATCAATCTTCGGCTCATTTGCACCCCCCAAACTCCCCCCGCCCCCGGGAGAAAAAAAAAAATCCATAGCGCCTTTCTTTCTGGCTTATTTGATACTCCTCCAGTCTTTAATATAGGACCTAATTCTTGAGTTGGTTTTAGTCCTAAATATAAGACCCCTTTCTCATATTTATCAATTTTCTCTAAATTATCCCTATGAATACTCCCTAATCAAGTAAAAGAGGGAGATAGGGTATTAAAAAAGATGATTATGGTGTTTTAGGAAAAATGTGTCACTTTTCTTATAATTAACTAATTTACCTAATTTCCTTAATCCAATCAAATTAATTAAATAGGTCTTATATTAAGGATCGGAGGAGTATTAGTTTTTGACTCATTCGTCCTTACTCCATATTTTATTTTTTATATAGGCTGTATTGAATTTTTCCATGAGCATTTTAATTAATTAGTGTCAATGAGAAAATATAAAAGTAATAAAATTTAAAATGTTGATTAAATCAAGTTACGAATATTTGCAGTTCACGTGAATTATTCAACTTTGACATATTTAATGAAATATAATTTAAAACAAGTGAAAACGATTATAATGTCATTGTTTATTTTTTCTCTTCCATTTTAACCGCTTTAATTTTGAGATGCAACTTCTATCCATATATAATGTAAAGATAGAATATCCAATTTATCACGATGGATAAGTTCTAGCGTTTGTCACCCAAACAAAATGCTCCAGCATTTTTGTACAGAATAAAAAAGAGGCCTTCATCCACAAACATACTGCTTGTTACCAATATTATTAGTAACAGTAAACAAAATACATACTGCTTACTAACAATTTCGTTTCTAGACAATGTGATTTTGTGAAACATAAACATCAGTCAAACACAGACAACGTAAGAAAACCTGTAGACGTTAAAACTATGATCACAACCATTAGCAATACACAGAGAAAGTAACAAAGAAATCTAGCAACAGTAAAAAGCCTATGATGATGAAGTATTGGTTGGGGCTGCCTCATTCATGAAAAGCAACTTGGATGGTCTGTTTGCCACCCCATCAATCTCTGGGACGAGCCAGCCAGAGGGAGCTGAGAGCACGCAGCCGAGAGAAATAATCATGTATGGCGAGCAAGGCGCGAGCCGACTGACGAGTTGTCAATATCCGGTGCATTTGTTGCAGTGTTTGCTGCCTCAGATTGTCAGCCTAACACAACCACCGTAGGGGGGAAAAAAGAGTCAACAGTAAAGAAATACCTCAACGAAGCCTTTTTTTAGTCAATTGTCTGTTATGAATTAACTTTCTGAAAGATGGCATGTACTTCAATAGAAGCTCTCAATCATCTGTTAATCACGAATATACCAACTCTAACAGTCGCTTCAATTAAGACAGAAGACAATAAGAACAAAAGGAGATGATAGGATGATCAGAAACTGTCATTAACTGTCATAGCTAATATAATTCCTCTGTGACAGGCTAATATGAGTGGGATAGTTTGAGCCTCTTCAACAGCTCATCCACTTGTTATGTTCATGGTCACTGAAAATGCTAGATAAAACATTATCTGACTTTAAAGGGAGATGATAGGACCGGACAGTTCGCTCGTGAGAGAGTGTGGAGGAAAAATGGGTAAAAATTGAATAACAAGAAACGAAAATGCTGGGGAGCACGTTTCCATAACAGTGAGAGAAGAAACAAATTTGAGGTTACATTGAAACAAGTTCGGACGAACACAAGAAGCAAGCTACTGTATGTACAGTCTGTAAGTGAAGGGTATGAGTCTGAAGCTTTAGACTTTATTGTAAAGTTGTGGAGTTCAGAGAGAGAAGAGAAAATAAATAAAGCGAACTGCTACATTCACACTCTAGTGTGGCTGTCTCTATAGATTATGCTAGAGCTTGACGATTAATAACACCAGTATGCTGCAACAGGGCTGCGTTACATATTAAACGTGCCAAAAAACAAAGAAGGAAACATTAAGCTGCCACTATTGATGTCAAAATAGGGTCATGAAATAAACAATTTGAAATCTAATTCCCCAGACAGTGCGTACCCTCCAAAATAAATTTTAGGTTTCCTTACAACTCAATACCACATTATATTCCTTAAATAAGGTATTTCCATGTTGCATAATACCAAGAGAAAACACTTGATAACAAACGCCTAAAAATTGCACCAAAGTTATTCTCATTGATTTAATCAAATTCAATAGATACTATTAGAAAGCTACGGTTTGACTAAAACTTAGAGCCCACTTACGAAAAGATACTGAACCGTGCAAATACAGGAGAATGCAAGAAGAATTTACCTGCCGAATGAATCCCTCAAGGGTTCCTAGCTTACCCATGGCCATAGCCATTTGGCCCATGTAATTCGCCACATTCCCTGATGAACCAGATGAACCAAGGGATCCACTGGACAGTGTCTCGGCTAGAGACTGCTGCAATGCTTCCATACCCTGTGATAATGCATCTTCTGCCTGTTGAGACGATTGCTGCAAGTTGGTAATACCGACCAACTGCTGCTCAGTAAGAGGTTCCAGTTGATTTACCAAAAGCTGAAAACAAAATTATCACCCTCAAGTCAAAGTTAAGGAAATTACAAAATGATCAAGATCTTGGGGGAAAACATAGAGCAGCAACAAAAAGCAATGAACGCTATTCATCCCATAAAAGTGTAAGGGTAACGACACTCCCTTTAAGCACAGGAACTTGGTGCCAGCCTCAAACACCAAAGAACCAAACATGGCCGAAAGATTGTGTCCGCATTCTTATGAAAATCATTATATCCAACAATAAAAAGTATTCCATTAAGGACACATACAACGGTCACCAAGAATTACAGACAAATTATATTAAAGCAAAATAGCTGGGCTATTATTTCTGAACTGGATCTATGCATATTGCCCATATTAAAAGACAAGTGAACGGGTTAATCTACAACATCTTATTTGATGCTTTGGTCCAAATAAAAGACTTGACCTTAGAACGGTTTCAGATTTGAAATGGGCTTAATGAGAGGAAATACAAGAATCGAGTAAAAGCAGAGAGAAGTATATAATTTACAATAAAATTTCGATTCTAAAATTATAGTGGGCAAATATTAACCTTTGTAGGCTGCAACCTTGTGATGATCCGAAGGACCTTAGAGAGAACTCTAATTTTTTTTCTTTTTTACTAGGTTTAACTACTGATCAGGAAAATCCTTATATCTCTCTGTCAACCATATGATGTATGGCCACAATATGCTCACCTTGAGGAGTTCGGATGACCGAAAACCACCGAGCCACAGAAAGCATCTCTCGGCAGGTGTTTTCCACATGCCAGACAACAAATGGAAAACATCATTCTTAGCAGCAGAGCTCTTCAGCTTAAAAATCTCATCATAATGTGCCAATATACCATCAATTATCATGCGAAGTTCTGTATCACTTGCATGGGAGTTTACAGCTGCTCTTAGCTCATTAATTTGTCGATTCTGCTCTTCTAGCCACCTAGAATATTCTACATCAAATGCCATCGCCCCTATAAAACAATGTAGTTAAAATTATTGATTACCTCTTCAAACAAACTAAAACATGCTACTATTTCTTCATAAATATTTTCATATTCAAACTTGAGGATAAACTATGTTGAAGAAAGCAGGATACCATTTCCACCCATTGAATGTGCCTGGTCGCCTGAGCTTGATATGAAGATTCCCTGCAAGATAGTGAAAAGAGATTTGGTTTACAATACACATAAATGGGAAGGAAACAAGGTTAATAATTAAGAGACAAGGGGAGAGAGAGAATAGGAATGAGAAGCGATGTCTATTGAGAATTGAGGTAATTCATCAGCAAAGAAAATTTAAACTACACCTGCTGTCTAGCTCGCTGGAGTTCTTGCTCTAGTTGGGTCAACTTCAACCGACTACTTTCTAATTGCTGGACATAAGCCTATATAGAAAAAACACACATATACGAATATGAGCCGTGGGGAGTTTACTTATATTAGTAGTTGTTAATTGAAGCCATTAAAAGTATGCAAATAAATCATTCCAAAAAAGAACTACAATGTCCAAACTACTCCTCTGGTCCTAAATATAAGACCCATTTTGCAGTGTTATATTTAGAACCGAAGGGAGTATGATGTAATAGTCTTCCCACATTGAAAATCCTTAACACAGGATAGTCCTGCTTAGGAGGGAGCAGATATAAATACATGAGGCCCTACAAAACTGTCACTCTTAAGAAATGAAGGGGGAAAAGTAGAGCTAAATAGACCAATATTCCTCGATCATAATTAAAATGCATTTGCCCTTCATAGCATTAGAGTCATAACATCATATCTACGCCAAGATCACCTAAATCTCTTGTTTTCCGTTGTCAGTAAACAGTGGTCGGTAAGTCAGCATTGTAAATAAGATTTTAACAAAATGATTTCTACGATAACTATATGGTTTGGTGACAAATTTGAAGATGCATCCCCAATAAAATTAAAAAAAGAAAATGAAAACTATTGTAAATATATATTTCCTACTTTCTTTCTCAACCGGCTTTTTCTCGCAGCCTCTCGATTCTGAGCAAGCCTGCGTAGAGTCTGCAAAAATTTAACAAAAAAATTAGCATGTAATAATTGTCATCAAAACCTTTAGGTATTATCCATGTGACTAAAAGAAGAAAATATAACCTTCTGATCCAACTTGTCCTTTGATCTGTCACTGGAATCAGAAGCAACAGCAGCATTGGACAGACTTCTATCAAACTGCAAAGATGGCATTCATGCAACGTCCGATTGTCATGTATTTTCAACCAGCATAACTTCTGCTTTCTAATGAACAGAAACAAACCAAAAAAAAAAAAAGAGAAAAGAAAAGAAGAAGCAGAAGAAAGGCTTCCCCTCATGCATTAAGTTTGTATCATATTTAGATTAGATTTAGGTCAATAACAGAGTCTAATTCTTGACCATTAGTACAATCAGCGCACGCTTATAATTATTAGCGTGCAAATAGGGGATATTGATTTGAGAGAGGGGTGTCGATAAAATTGAAAAGGGAAGATAGTATTAAGCAAGGTATCAAAACTTCACCCGCCCATTCTTTTCGTCAGTATCAGCATCTGTCGAAATATCTGTCCTGGGACTGACATCAGCCATGGCAGACTCCTGGTTTTCTGTATTAGCACCTGATACGGTCACCAAATTTGATGGCTGGGCCTTTTGCAACTGCAACACTTGGGACTCTAATTGCTTAGTGAATTTGTTTATATCAAGTGAAGTTGGAACCTGCACAGAGCAAGAGAAAAGCACAAACCAAGCAAGGAATAAGACATGCAAAATTAGAAGATGACCAACGATGATAGTTTATTAGATGAAAAGAACTAAAGAAACTCGCCTTATCAAAATTACCAACAGGAATGGGACCAAGAGAATTTGTTTGGCTACTTGTTTTGAGTGAGTTATAAACTTGGTCTGAAACATGCATAAGATAAACCCATTATAGAGGGGTCGAACTGGAAAACAAATCTTAATCTTTCCAACAACGATATCATAAAGAAATTGATCAAATTATACACGCACCACCCTCCGGACAAAAAAAAGTTATGCACCAGCACACGTAGATCTTAAACTAACAGGATGTAATGTGCGTGTATGTTGGTGCATGATGGGCAGTTGGACACCCAAAAGGGCAGGAGAACTCTTGCCCAAAAGTTAGCTATAGAGGTGGAAGAACCAATCAACCACATAAATTCCCCATAAAGCAACTCATATTAATTAAAGTGGAACCAAGCACCCCATATTGTCAAGGTCTCCGCAAGCTGGCTATCCTTGAATAGATTGTCTCTTTGACATTTGATTTCCTTGCCAATCAAAACCCTCCACAGCCCTTTCCAAAGTCATGTGCCACCAACTCTAATATAAATTGTCAGGCGCCCAAATGAGGTAATAAAACCCTCCCCTAGAAGTTGACTATTGAGTAGGGTAAACCAGTCGACTTAAATACTCCATAAAATAGCCCATACCACTCAGGGACAGTTTGGGAGCACTTAATTAGTGCTTTTGTGCCTTATAAGACAACATTCCTCTTATATATTTATCTCATACGTTACCTCATACAGCGCAAAATTACTTCTCCACAACTAATCAAAATGGGCCCTTACTATTCAATGTGGAACTAGACATCTTTTACTACTTAGGTCTCATCGAAGTCATATTTTCGTCATCTTTTCCTTGGTGCTAAAATACCACAGTCCACAGCATCTATTAATGTTATCTTTAACTAGCATATAACATCTAATGTGTAGTTATGCACTGACAGATTGAATACAGCAACCATTGAAGCAGGCTATTTGAAGCAGAACTGTTATGACATGAAATGAAAAATAGATATCTATGTGTACTTGTAATGCATAAATTTGTCATAGTTGGATTACAGGAATACTTACCTCCAGTCAAGTTAACAGCATTATCTCTAACTGATTGATCAAAGGCTCCAAAGTCAGAAACATGAAAAGATTCAACTGTGCTTCCTCCAATATGGCTGAACACCATAATTTGTCAAATTGAAGCCAAAAGTTTATCCAGTCTATGTTTCTCTGTCAACATAATGCTCATTAAGAATACAAGTTATCTTAAACTTGGATAAATAGAAAAATAAATACTTGGGCCATTAGGTTCCAAATCCAAATTTATGATTTTGCTTCAGCCTATTTTAATGAAGAAATAAATTACAGCAGTTTTTGCCATCATCTAAGAAGACAACCATCGATTGCCAAACCATTATATTTGCACGGGGAACATCAAGCTACCACAATACTAATCCATTTAATTAAATTATCTATGACTGAATTTCACTGACTAACGAAAGCTACTTGGTAGAGCCCTAGCACTCAAACTTCAATTGTAAGGGCAAGTTCAAAGCATGGTAAAAGGATTCCCTGAATCAAAATAAAATTCCTTATTTAAGAATATGCATTTAGTGGAAGCCCAAAAAAAAAAAAAGGAATATGCATTTAATATTTACACAGTGCCCAAATAAAAAACCTTAGTGACAACCTGAAAGAACAAATCCAGATTTTCCATCTCCCCAAATTATTCAACACCAGAAAACATAGTGCCCAAGATACAAACATCAGATATTTTCACATCATAACTACACAGTTCCTCAAACAAAATTGAGGACAAAGTAAATTTGGATTTGAAAGACAGATACCCAAAGTCTCTTAATTGCACTCTCATTCAGTGTAAGTCTAATTTCTCACACCTCATATATTTGATTGCATGATCTTCAAGGGGCTTGATACGCGGAATACGAATAGCTGCAAAAGTTCCACAATGTCATACATATTTATAGATCAATTTCTCGCGACACCAAACTCCTCATTTTGTAAAATATTATCTAGTTTCTTTATGTCATCACATGATACATTAAGACAAACTTCCTCCACTCTATTTGACCAAGAAAAGATATTGATATTAAAATCAGCACGCCAACATAGTGAGGGGCAAGGTTACTTGAGTACAATAGCTTCGCAATAGGTGACCATTCTAGGGACAATCATGATTTCCTTTCTGCTCTACAAATGCAAAAACGATATTGGTAGGGTGCTTCACAGAGCAATTAATATGAAATTTTGTCACCTCATCACTTGTTTTAGACAACAAATATAAAAAATCTCTCCAAATTTCCAGTGTTTCCAAGTAAACCTTTCTTGCTTCTTGCCTTGAGAAACTACTGACCGGGATCAGTGACAACCTAGTAGTTCTTAAGAGCATCAAGGGGCAGATGCATGCAAGCCTCTCATTCAATCATTACACCATACATTTACTCCATCAAAATGAGATACACTTATCATCAATGAAGCTAAATTAGCATATTCATCCTGCCCGTACATAGGTGCATACTCGAGAGCAACAAAGTGACAAACCATATATAAACATGCTACCAAAATATATATACACAGACGTACAAAGCCCTCATCCACTCAATCAAAATGCTATATACTTATCTTGATCAGTGAAGCTAGAGCAGCATGTGGCTTCCTAGAAAAAGGTCACTAGTCAGCATGGTTCAAGTCAGGCAATCCAACTAAACAGAAGTTCAGTAACTGATCAATCTATAAGCACAGCTACCAGATGGTCGCTGAAAATGTCTCCTGGTATTGTACCAAGAACCTAAAATTGAATCCTACTCTTACAAGGGATATTCTAACAGAGGACAGTCTTTAATTATCAGCACAATAAGCCATTGAGAACATCCAACAATGAACTGAAATCAATTTCAAAAACCAAAATGAAACAAAACATCCAATGTTTTTGGTATCTTCAGATTCTTATACAGTGCATATGATTCAGATGAATATTATGCAGTGTTCTTTTTTCCCCCCCTTTTTTTCCTTTGAACTTGCAGATCTAGATGAAGTCCTCGTTGAACCAACTGAAATTTTACTGTAACCTTCTGGTATGAATTATACACGCAAGAAAATTGGGTTATGTCACCAGAAACAAACCTCTCACGGGCTATCTAACTCAAACATGCAAAACCAACAATGAACATCACAATGTTCCAGATATCACTTGAATTTTCCTAAGTTAAGAAAAAGGCTAAAAAGTTGCTCACTGCTAATTCAAAACATACACTGAGATAATTGTAAGAAGATATACCGTGCATTTGGAACTGGCAATTGAGAATCCAAGCCTGGCATCCCCCTTCTTCCCTTCTCATCTTCTTCACTAACCCTGGTTCAACAACCCACACATCATCATCATCAACGTATGGCCAGCTCCCCTGCGGCCCAAGAAACAAACAATAGCTAAACTAAAATCAATGGACATAAAGCGAAATCGAAATTTTTACTTCAGTAATGGTGAAAAAACAAACAATACAGAAACAAGGCAAAATAGCATCGGACAGAAACAGAGAACAAGACTCCTTTTGCACGAAGCACGGATTCGACAGCTGAGACAGACCTATTTCAGCAACTTCAACATAACATAGATTTCAAGCAAACGAAAGCATGAACTCAATTCAAATCCGAAAGACGGACAAAAAATTCACAAAATTGGAGCAAAACCCTTAATTGCAGAAGTTCATATAAGCAAAATATACCAACTGCTGTCTCGAAAACGCAAACTTTGTCACTATCCCAAGTGTACCCGCAAAGCTAAACACACGGAAAATGAGAATAACATCCAACCAAGAACAGTGCTTAAAAGTCAAAGAAGCCTACTTCGACGTTTAGTAGACCAATTTGACAATTACCACCAACCCCAGATTGATACTCAAATCCAAGCTCTAGAAGATCAAAAAATAAAAATTACCTGTGACTTGAGTAAATTCCCGACGAAAAGCAAGATTATACTGACCAAACCCACCTAGGAATTCTGATGGACCTAATGGTAAAGATAATTATAAACTTAATTTCTCACAATTTAAGCACTTTTTGTTGGATTAAAGTGGAGGAAGAGGGAAGGAGAGATAGAGAGCGACGTGTTGATCGTTCATACTAATCTCAAGACGTCGTCTTCTGCAGAAATCTTCCCCTTTCCAAGGACAAATAATTTTTTAATCAACATTTAATAATGTTTAGTGGTTTGACACGAATTATATTTTTCTGTGCATTTTATTATTTTCCCCCCAAAATCTTTTTCTACGCCGTTTGTTGTGTCAGAGATATACTGACAAAGTATTGCAGTAATAACGCAAACACGACCAATCTCTCTCTCACATCTCGCCTTCAGTTTCAGTACCGCGCTGCTCTACAGCGAATCACGTTCCAGAGAATTTGTAAGCACTTCTTAATCTCTCTCTCTGTATATGTGTGTGTATATATATATCTATAAAATGAGTCACATGTATTCAATGAGGTAAAAGTAGAAACATAAGTTTAAAATTTTAAACAAAAGAGGATTTATTTCTTATATTTAGAAATACTACTATAAATAATACTGGCTCCGGCTCTTAATATATAAAAGTTAGTTAATCAATTTGAGTAGATTAAAAAAATTAATAAAGTTAGTTATTAGTAATAATTAAGTATTATTTTTTCTAAAATATTCTTGATAATCAAGTGTATTGCCTATAACTATCATTATTATAAGAATTATTTTTAAAAAATAGATAAATGTGAAAGACCAAATGAACTCGGGTCTTATATTTAAAATCAAAATAAAATTAAACGAGTTTTTATGTTAAGAATCAGAGATAATATATTAGAATGTGTATATGTCTTCTCATTTGATAAAAAAATTTTAGAGCAAAGTAGGTCAAAATCTTTCCTCTTCTCCCTCACATTACTTGATTTTAGTTCCACATATTGGAATTTTTCAGATGAGAGATAAATTTGCAGAACATTTCACCTTTATTTTATTTTATATTTCACTAATACCCATAAAATATATTATTATAATATTTATTTCAAATAAAAAATATACTATCATAAGTAAAAAAAAAAATACATTATTATAATTAAAATATATTATAATAAAAATTAATTAAAAATAAAAACATTATTTTCAATAAAAAATTATAATATTATAAAATTAATTTATTTTTATAAATATATTATTTTTTAATTAAAATATATTTCAAATTTGAAAAAAAAGCATAATCTATAAGAAAAGAATTAAAAATTCATCTTTTAAAACATATAAAATTTGTTAATTGGATTATTTAAAATATATTATTATATTAATTAGAATAAAAAATTACCGTACTAGTTTTTTAATGCACATATCAGACTGAATTTTATTAAATTATATAATTTGAATTAAGATGTAAATTAATTTATGTAATATATAAATAAAAATATAAAATAATATGTAAGGATAAAAATAATAAATTGATCATTACTATTCCTTCCCTTCCTCTCTTGAACTAAACAAAAAATTATTAAATATCTCACACTATCCTCTCTTTTTAATCAAACCAAACAAAATGAAGTTAAAACTTTTCTTATCCTCCCTGCACTTCACCCTTCTCTCCTTCCCCTTCCTTTTCCCTCAAATCAAACAAGCTTTTAAAGGAGAACGAATAACGATGATTGATTTGAAAAGCTTCTATTAATTTAAAAGTTTAAATAATAAATTTTAAAAATTAGTTGTCCCCATCTTTCTTTTATACATTAATTTCCTCACGAGAAATTTTTTTATCTTAATCTTTGGATGCTTGAGTGGGGTCCTCGCCATCAAATAAAGTTGCGGAATTAACGGAAAAATAAAAAAAATTGTTAACTACTCCATATTCTTTTCCTATAAGAGACACTTGATCAATTATATTGATGGAAATATTGGTTAAAATTAGTAAGAGATGGTAATGTAACATTTTTGCCAAAAATACATTCATTTATGTAAAAGAGAAAATGTGAGGTGGAGAGAGACTATATAAGAATTAAATACAATTATATGAGTAATATGAGTTATTAAACAGGTAAAATGAGAAATTTATAAATAAAATTTGAGACTTTAAATGCCTTAAAAAATATATAATCTACAGTTGTCTTTTGCAAAAATGGAGGGAGGGAGTAATAAAAACAAATTTTATTAACAAATCATAAAAAATTTATTTTTATGGTTAATTAACGAAACACATTAAAACTTTGTATAGCATTGCTAAAGGACTTTCACCGTGATTCCTAGTTACGAAGATATCTAATGTGTTACAGTTAACCCAATGAACATTAATAAAAATATTTCAATTTTTATGCATATAATGTTAGCACTATTATTACATTTGAGCCTTTTTAGAAAAGATTTTGTTTTTTGCTAGATACATTTATCATTCTATTAGAAGCAATATTATTTGAAGCATTGTTATGCACTAAACTTGGGCACATATTTCAGTAGGGATTATAAAAATATTAATTTAATGCTAGTTCCAGTCCTAAATATGCTAGACAAGGCGTTGGCAAAAAAAAAATATTACGCAAGGAGTTTACTCTGATTTTAAATATAAGACCTAAATTTATTCTGTCTCTTAAATTTATAATTTTTTTAATAAAGTATTTCTATTAATTGTACATAATAGGGGTTTCATCAACAAATAATTACAATATACATGATTTGAAAGCATATTCTGAAAAAATCAACACATATTTATTACAAATATCTAATTTTCTCAATATTCAAAAGTTAGTTATTTAGCTCTTCTATTTAGTTTTGTTTCTTTTGGTTATCCGGAGTATCCTCTCACCTGAATGATAAGAGACTAATATCTCAAGATACTGTCAAGCGCTGTAGCGGAAACCCCTCTTAACAGTTTTTTTTCATACACACCGTTTTAAAGATCAAATCAAGATATGATGTTTAAAGTGTTTAAATCTCTTTTACTTGGTTCTATTGGTCATTTATCATATGAGAAAATTGTGGGCTTTTAACTAAGCCCAAATAATCTTTAGTCCAAAACGTAGATGACGTGTTCTTTGGTTGGTTATAAATTATTGAACTTGTAATTTCAGGATGGTCTATTGTTATTGAGACTTTTTAGTAATTATATTTTTAATTTAAGATTTCATAGCAATTCTCCCAATCAACTTTGTGACACCGATGAAATTTAAAATAAAATAAAATATGATTTTAAGAAATAACTGTAACTCTGCATTCCTCCGTAAATATTAAAAATGGAAATAAGTAATTAATTAATAGTCACAAAGATAAACTTACGATATCTTCTTACAAACACCATACCTGCTCAAGAGGATGGCCGGAAGAAAAAAAAAACCTTGCTCAAGAGGAAGGAAGAATTCCATTAAAAAAAAAAGCTTGAAATTACTAAAATTTGGTAGCAATCTTTTAATATGTTTTGTCAATACTGAATTTATAAATAATAACATATTTTTTTTCAAAATTCTTTATTTAGTGTTTAGTAATTTTAAACTTATTTTTGTGGGATTCTCCCTTAAGAGAAAAGAGTATAAAATCATTTGAACGCATCGTCATTATTAAGTATTTATTTTTTTGTGTATATAAATAAGGGGAAATTATTTTTCCCCAACTTTTAATTTGATAACAATATATTTTTTCTTTTTATTAAATTATTTAATTTTGTTTTGTTAGCATCCTTAACTCCTACGATCCCTACCAAAGTAAAATTACAAGGTTAACAGTGTTAATTAATAGAGCAAAACAAATGAATTAAATAGAGAGAAAAAGTATAGGTACCAAATTATATATTATTTGAGAAAAATATAAGTATTTGTAAAATGATATTTTTCTATAAATAATTCTGATATTTGAACTTTAAAAATAGAAATTAAATTTCACTGACATTAAAATTATATTAGTACCCACACACACATATAGATCATTAATCGATTTTCCAGAAAAAAGATACATTTACCTTTGCTTTTATTAAGTTTGCCCAAATATCATCTTATTTTTCAAAAGTTATATAGCGTTAACAAAAATTAAATAAATTATACAAATTTAGGCAATATAAACTTCTTTTACATTCTAAGAATTTTCCATTCCATCCTTTATAAAGAACTCATCAGCATCTAATAACCCTGTTAGTTCTGGTAGAAGGAATCATACATGTTTTGAGTTTGAATTTGTATGAATACAGAAATCGCTTTACTCTAAATCCAACCCAACCATACTTAAATCTCTGGTTTAGTAATGCTTAAATCTCTTTTATAATTGTTTAGAAATATTTTTGTTGATTACACATAATAAAGAATTTTTTATCGAGAGTAGTTACAACATACATTTTTGTAGAAAAGCAATACATATTTATTATGTATAATTAATTTGCTTAATTTCTTAACATTTATAATTTAGTTACTTAAACCTCATATTAATAAGGATCACAGAGAATATTATCTTTCACATCATAGAGCCAATAAGATCTACGCTTTGGACAAATTTGGTGGGCTTGAAATTAATGTATTTAAATTATTAAATTCTTAGACAACGGTTTAGTTCGAAGTGGCTGTTGGGCTGAGCTTTGACTATTAGAATTGTTGGTGCTGGGATTTAGGTTACTACTGTACCTTCATGTGACCAATGCCAATGGTTCCAGTAAAATAGGCTAATTTCTCATAATATGATGAACTAAAATTTAAATTCTTATTAAAAAAGATGCTCACATTTAATGTTCGAGAAGTGTCTTGAATATGATTGTTTCTAATAGAATGATACCTATACGTAGTATTAAAAAAGGACAATTGTAAATTCATGTGTGAAAGCACTACTTTCATGAAATTAGTGGCTATATATGTACTACCTTCGATCCTTAATATAAAAACTAGTTTAACATTCAATTTTGTTCTATTTATCTATTTTTCTTAAAATAGTTTTTATAGTAGTTGTACCTATTAAAAGTTTCATCAAATAGTAATTTCAACTAATACACATAATTAGTAAGGATATTTTAAGAAAGAAGAGACATACTTATTACAAATAAATAACTTAATTAATTTTCTTAATCAACTCAAATTAGTGAACTAACTGTTATATTAAAGAGCGGATGTAGTATTTCCTTTTGTTTTCATTATCACATAAAAATAATTGATACTAAACAATAACAAAAAAAGTTAATGTAAAATTGTTCTAATTGATAAGAACTTATTTATGTTCTACAAAATATAGGGGTATGGATTTAGTCTTTTTCCCCAGCGTAGAGCTGTGTAGCATGGATACTTTGGGGGGGGGGGGGAACTAGTTAATGCACCCATATTATTTTTGTGATAAATTATAAACTATATTTATATTTATATGTAGTGATTTATATAATGTTGTAGGTATTGGATATGTTTCTTTTGGTTCTAGGTTAACATTCAATTTGGTTCTATTTATCTATTTTTCTTAAAATAGTTTGTATAGTAGTTATACATATTAAAGGTTTCATCAAATGGTAATTCCTGCTACCAACGAGGGTTGGTCCAAGTGGTAAGCGGCTTGGTATAGCTTAAGCGAGGTCTCGAGTTTGAGTCTTAGCGTATGCAGAAATCCCCGTTGGGAGACTCACCCACCACAGTCAGGTGCGCGACGCGGGTCGGATCCAGATGTAGTCGGAGCAAAGCTTCGGTGAACTAGGTGGGCAACAAAAAAAAAAAGGTAATTCCAGCTAATACACATGATTAGCAAAGGTATTTTAAGAAAGACAAGACATACTTATTACAAATAACTAACTTAATTAATTTTCTTAATCAACTCAAATTAATGAATTAGATCTTATATTAAGGACCGGATATAGTATTTCCTTTTGTTCTCATTATCACATCAAAATGATTGATGCTAAACAATAACAAACAAGTTAATGTAAAATTGTTCTAATTGATAAGAACTTATTTATATTCTATAAAATATAGGGGTATGGATTTAAATTTTTTTCCCCAGTCCAGGACTATATAGCATGAATACTTTGGAAAAAAAAAAACTAGTTAAGGTATCCATATTATTTTGGAAAAATTAGGGATAACTCTCTCATTGAAAATTCAATTGGTAAATGGGATCTAAAGACTTTGTGCAACTTAACTTCCATTGTGTGCAACTTAACTTTCTTTGCAATGTGCAATGTTTAACTCAATTTCTTTTTGTGCAAAGGAAATTCTCTTATGTGTAAGTTATCTTCCTTATATGCAAATGAATCCCTTATATCTAAATAGTGTTTTGTGCAAACCATCTTCTATTTGTGCAACCTATCTTCCTTTGTGTACAACTAATTTTTCTTTATGTAATCAATCATTCTACGGACCATTTGCTAATTAAATTTGTAATGAGGGATTTATCTCCAATTTTTCCTATTATTTTTGTGATAAATTATAAACTATATTTATATTTATATTTAGTGATTTATATAATGTTCTAAGTATTGGATATGTTTCTTTTGTCCTAGGACATGCTTCCTCTTCAGTACATTCAAAAAAATTTGATAAAGACAGAACTTGTTCTTCTATAATTACTCCTCCGGTCCTAATTATAAGACCCAATTGACTTATTTGAGGAGATTAAGGAAGTAAGTTAAGTTGGTTATTTATAATAAATAAGTGTTGTCATTTCTAAAATATCCTTGCTAATTAAGTATATTGGCTAAAACTATCATTATTAGAAGGATTATCTTGGAAAAAAATGTATAAATATGAGAGACAAAATAGATTAGGGTCTTATAATTAGGACCAAATAAAAAGTCAAATGGGGTCTTATAATAAGGACCGGAGGAGTATAATATTTGTATGTGTCAATCCTTCATCGCATTACATATAAATCTTAAATCCAGTATCATATAACCTGAAAAATGTCATTAGGTATCTAATCGAACTTTCTTTATTTAGCCTATTATTAACACTAGTTTTTTTTTCAAGATTAAAGTGCAAATTTATCCCGAAAATTTTTACTTAAGAATATTAAACACCTGAAAGTTTACTTAATGTTAAGTTGTTTGCCTCAAGTAATAATCTATCACTTCATATATTATTATTCACCATTCCATTGATGTTCGTATATGTCTATATAATTGAGGAAATTCAAAACAATGCCACAAAATTTAACGTGTAAGGACTCTTTAAAATTCTTTAACGAGTCAAAGTTTTTTTTCCTTCTGAATTTTAAGAATATGACATAATTAAGATTATGTATATATGTATATGTAACATATTATGTACTTATTTTAATATTTTTTTGTCTTCTCACCCAATATTTTCTCTTCCTACTCTCAAAACTTTACGCAAATATTGCTACCATTAACAACTAATTAGTTCAGCCACAAGCAATGAATGTCGCCACTGATTGTTATCTTCTGCGGCCACAAATTGTTGCCGAAATCTCTGAATTTTAGTGACCACATATTTTGTCGCTACCGATAATTTTATTTTTAACGGCGACTTTTAATATCGCGGCCCAAAATCTTTTTTTCTTTAATGAATAACTGTGAAAGATTGAAACTTGTTAATTTTCTATACAATAAATAGTTCATATGTAAAAGCTAACGAAGATTATTGGTACCTTTATATTGGTAGAAATATAATTTATGCTTCACAATTATATATATGCATGGTTTTAAATCTCTCTATTTTAGTTAATTAGTAATTAATAAGTTCTTCTCATAAATATAATGAGACCTGCTCTGACTCTAATAAATCTCAAAATCATACAAATTTGATCGATTTTACTTTTAAATGTATGCATAAGCCTATATATTAGGCAATTAAACCCATATTATATTTTTTTTTCTCTCTCTCTCTCTCTCTCTCTCTCTCAAGAAAATAGGTGCGTGTGTAATTAATATATATGTGTGTGTGTGTGTGTGTATAACGTCCATAAACTGTCCTATTTTTTTATTTAAAATGCAAATTACTTGCACACATATATATGTTTTGCTTATTATCAAAATAAGCTCCTAATCTGCCAAAGAGTATATTAAATAAAAACTAACAAAAACCTAATAAACTTACTGAAATTTTTCTATAAAAAAATCACAAATCAATCAATCAATAACCAATAAACATATGAAACGTACTAACCTAGAGCACATCAAAGCCCAAAAAATCCAACACAAGTTGTTCATTGAGCAATGGGTCCACCAACAATGAAGTAGAATCTTGTAACTTCAACCAAGCTGGTGGAGCAGCTCCTTCTTCTTCATCAGGCTCAGGATCCAACACACTCCTCCATTGTTGCTCAAGCTCCAAAGAAGAGGAAGAAGAAGAAGAAGAACCCTTCATTATAAGTTCATAATCATCATCGTTCTCATGATTACGAGCTTCCTCCATGAAATTAGCTTCTGCAACATTGGAAGATTTCCCCGTGAGCTTCTGCACAAGATCCCTGAAGTTGGAAGCACTGGTTTTCACCTTCATAGGGCTCGATATGTACTTCACTTTTATGCCCTTCTCGCTCTTCTGATGACTCCTCCTGTTCTTCATATCAGAGCAGCTAAGAACAGTGATAAATACTACACGAGTTTCGGAAGATAATTAATTAAGCTGCTATATGGTTTTGATTTTGATGATGAAAAAACCCAAACCTGATGAAGAATTTATATGATGTTGGTGATGATGACGGCTTCGAAAAGGTAAGTTTCCGGGAAAGTGATGAGGTTGAAATGATTATTAGAAGGGATCGAATATGAAAGAAAGAAAGAAAATTAGTTAAATAGTGGATGGTGGGAACGGAAATAAGAGATACAGAAGAGTCCGATGTGGCTGCTTAATAAAGAGAGGACCCGGAACCTTGTAGGTTTTTTTTCCCCTCTTGGTCTTCAAGTTTTTTTTTTTTGTCACTGTATCCTAATAATACTTTTTTCACAAGGAAAATGTACTCCTTTCAATTCTTGATGTAAGAAATAAATAATTAACTTGTAAATATTAAAAAAATTAGTTAGATTAATTATTTATAACTAATATATAAAATAGTCTTTTTAAATATGTGAATTATTGTAACTATCCTTTGAATAAACCCTCTTACCATGTGCTGTTAATAAGGATATATTTTTAAAAAATTATAAATTTGAGAAACAAAATAGATTGATATTTTATATTTAGGATTAAAATAAGCCCTTTCCCTAATTCTAATATTTAGAAAAGGAGATAGTACATTTTTAATTTATACATATATATATATATGCATACATGCGCATACAAAATATATATTGTATGTTACGTTGTGTGGTTGATTTTGTTTATTCAATAAAATTTAGAACATTTGGGAAAATGTTTCAAAAGAGCTTAAAAATTTTAGAGAGAATTACAATCAATCCCACAGAAAAAAATAATTACTAAAAAGTCCCAATAACAACCTGAGCAGCCTATAATGACAAGTCCTATAATGGAGGATGACAACCTCTGGGACTTGTTTTGTAATTTTTTTCTTTCATGGGACTTGATTATAATTTTTCCAAAATTTTATGTAGAATTTCAATGATATTAAAGATAAAAATTGATGTGCAATTTAATCTAGAAGTTTGAATTTTAATTAATTTTATATTTTTATTGATAGTTTACATAATTGACCATATTATATTTGAAGTAGTAGTTATTCCTGTGAGGATTAATATACACTAAATAACTATACATAAAAAAATTGTACGTGTTTTTTATAGACAATAACCAAACTGAAAAATAAGTCAAATTTCATGAGATTTAAAAAAAAAAAATTAAATTTTCTTAATATACACTATGCATTCGGAAAGCATCCTGCATCTTAGACTATAAAAATAAGAGAGCATATTACTATATTGTATATTAATGAAAAAAAAAATTTATATATATATATACTATTTCTTTGGGACCAAGCGAAAAGCTTCTAGGAGTCTAGACTTGATGTGTGATCCCTATTTTCTTGGAACATTTTGTGCGGTTTGTGTTCAACGAACCGATGGCCCCGTGCGCAGCCAAAAATGACTAAGAGAGCGTTTTCTCGTTGCCAGAAATTAACGAACAATTTCACGTTTTAGGGTCTAGGGATAATTAATATATATTTTTTTTATAAAGGATAATTAATACATTTTAATTAATGTCAATATTTTTAAGAGTTCTTGATAATCATTCTTTTTAAAGCTACTATTGTTATCTTTTAAATTAAAAAATTCAAACTTTTTAGCTAAATCAAGAAGAATATGTTATAATTTTAAATGTAAGAAATCATTTTAATAAAATTTTGAAGATAATTTTGATCTTTTAAAATAGGGTTATGGTGCAACAGTATTTTCTCAGGCACAGTTAGTAACCTAAAGTATGTTATGATACATTTAACATCCTAAATATTTTTCAAGTGGGTTTAGCATCTTGAAAAAAAAAAATTTCCTGGTGTTGGATGCACCCAAAAAAAAAATTTAGAGTATTGGACACACCTAAAAATACTTTAAAATGTTAGATGCCTACAAAAAAAATCTCATAGTGCTGGATATACCTGAAAAAAGTACTTCAAGGTACTAAATGCACCACAAAATACTTTAAAGTACTAAATACATTCTAGAAAATACTTGGGAGTGATGGATGAACCTTAACCATTTAAAATATCCAACATTTGTATTAAATTTGATTTTTTAATTGAAAATTCATTTTGGCATAAACAGTTTGAAATATTCATAAATCGTTTTCACACACACACATATATGTATGTATTTGTCTCTATTAGGTTTGTTTTGTATTCATTGTTTGGTACAATCTTTTTCATATGGAGGGCAAAGGCATAAATAAAGAATGAAAAAATATTTTAAAAAATAGTAATACTATTTATGATAATAAATAATACTATACTATCTCTTGTCCTAATTATAAAATCTTGTTTATAATCTACAAACGATATCTTATAATTAATACCAGAGGTAGTATAAATTTTGTCATATGCATACTCAGATGATGATCGCCATTCACGCACTGTCAATATTAAGTCAGATGGTTAGTACTAATCCTGTGTGTGTAACTAAATGTGCCTTTAAAAAATGAGCCAAAATATTTATATTTTTTTAATAATATGTCTTAATTATTACTCCTCTTGTCCTTAATATAAGATCTATTTAACTAATTTGATTAGATTAAAAAAGTTAGGTAAGTTAGTTAATTATAAAAAATATGACATGTTTTTCTCAAAATACTATAATCATCTTTTTTAATATTCTCTCTCATTTTACTTAATTATGATTGAAGAAATATCTATAGGAGTCATTTATAAAAAATTGATAAATATTAGAAATAGGTATTATATTTAAGACCACAATCAACTTAACAATTAGGTTATATATTAAGGACCGGAGGAGTATATATTTTATATCTAATCCTGATATTATTTTGTTAAGTATACTTTATATTCAGCCTCTTTGTTACTTTGAGTTAATTAGTTCAGCTCCCCACACACTATGAAATCTAAAAGCTCAATTATATTAATCGCATCATTGTAACTAATAAAAACTTGCTTTGAATTTTTTTATTTTATATTAAAATTATAATATTAAATATTGATGTTATACCTGTTATGCTAATTAGAGAATCTAGCTACTATATGTCTACAGAATTTGAACTTGGGAAATGAAATTAAGAAGATAAATTTAAACATTATGTGTGGAACAACATTCTAATTTACTATTAAGTCTAAATTTATTTTGATCAACATAGACTGTAAGCTCAATAAAGAGTCATATATAGATGCCTTATATTATTTATGATTACAAAAATGTGTATTTTTAACTTACATATTGATTTTTATTTTTTAAAAATATTGACACATGAGATCTTAAAAATCATATCTAGAAAATGATATTATAAAGACATAAAAAATTGTTGAGGTCAAGCTGCCAATTTGATCCGAACTTGAAGGATAGGTGCATGAGGCGAATCAATAAAACGAATTACGTAAACGAACCAACAAAACGTCATATCTCACTTTGAATTCTAATTCGATAAAAATGTGGCGTCACAATTCATTTTTAATTTTACACAAACGCAATATTTCCTTGACCTGATATTTTTAATTATGAAACTTTTAACCAAAATGAATTTTTTTATTAGACACAAGTATCCTGTTCGAGATACTGTCAGATCCTAACCATAAGCACATCCTTCAATCAAAATTTGAATCTTAGTTTGATATATTATAAAAGGCTAACTTCTCTTGTTCGATCCAATCTCATTAATAACCAAAAAAAGTTAAAAGACAAACATTCAATTTCCCCACCTTTGTGGTCCAATTGCCATAAAAAGTACATTTACCAAAGTGTCTTTAACTTCAAAAAAATAAAATCTTCCATCTCCATCTGCCACTATTAGCTAGAGTGGCTGCCATTGGTGACATATGTGTAGGCTTCAAACCTCATGCATCTAAATACTAAACTCAAATCTATGACTTCGTCTAAACATAATAGGTGACACTGCTATCTGCTATCGAGACACCTTGCTGTTAACAACAAATTTTACTGGATAAAAGGCAAGAAAACATATATAAGTTATTTTGATTTTTTTCACTGTTTTCTAAAATCAAATTCCTATTTTTTGTTTTATAAAACATAAACTTTTATGTGTTTTCTTGCTTTTTAGTTTTTATTCTGTAATTTTTTTTATATAATCGAGTTAAAAGCAGAGAACAATCTTATCTTTATTTAGCCACCTGACCAGATGAGCTCTCGGCTTTCAAATTCAAACTTGCCAAAGCTTCATTTTCCAGTTTCAATCGTTTTAAATATGATTATGTCTTTTAAGAATAAACATCCAAACAAAGTTTTTGGTTTTTCAAAAACTTGTTTTGAAAAACAATTTTATAAAATCTAAGAACATAGAAACTTAAAAACAAAATCAAATAAGGCATAATAATTTAATAACTTAAAAGTTCCTTAGAATTTATATTCATATACAGAGAAATATTAAATAAAATTAAAACAAAATTCTGAGGGTTTAATAAAATATATATTTAAAAAATGACCGACAAAATTATATATATATATATATATATATATAAAATGGAATGGACAATTTTCTACAAATGTGAACACATGATCAGGGAAGGGAAAAATTACAGCTGGAAGAGAAAACAAAAGGAAATAGGGGATAAGATAGATTTTTGTTTTGCACGTGGTCAATGGAGGATGATTATTAGACATGCTTGTATATCTAATTTTCTGAGCTCCATACAATTCACATGCTAAATTTATTTAGCTTGTTAGTCAAAATGATGAATATATACTCTCTGAATTTGACTTTTATTTTAGTCCTAAATATAAGACCCAATTCACTTTGTCTCTCATATTTATCCATTATTTTTCAAAGTAGTCTTTATAATAATAGTAATTCTAGCTAATATACTTGATTAGCAAGAACATTTTAAAAAAATAACATCTATTTATTATAAATAACTAACTTAACTAGTTTTCTTAATCTATTCAAATTAGTCAACTAACTCTTATATTAAGGACCGAGAGTAGTACTTATATTGA